AGCTTTACGAATATCATTTCATGAATTTGTCTATGTTGTATAAACAGGGGCTACTATAATTGCATGTATTGGAGAATGCATGAAATTCATAGCACAAACATAGTAATAGATCTATGCCTATGAGCCGGAAACTTAACAGCAATCGACCGTGTGGGTCTTCGAAGACGAGATAAGTCCAACCAAAGTTGTTCGTGGATGAAGCCCTTCCAAGCAAATGGACAAACGGTCAATTCTTAGTGGAACACAACAATTTGATTGCTTGAAGTCTTTGGAGAAACTCGAAAATCGAACGGATCAATGTGTACCATGACAATGCGAGCTTTTTTGTACGGCCAAAACGTAGAATTGGTGGGTCATCCGCAGTACAGCCCTGGCTTGGCACCCAATGACTTCTTTTTGTTCCCTTACATGAAGAGAAAAATGCGTGGTCAAGGATTTTCTTAGCCAGAAGATGCTGTTGAAGCGTTTAAACACTATGTTTTGGAGAATACTTTGAAAAACAATAAAACCATTTTTGGCGATAAATATTCTCATTTGAGTTATTAGGCCAAAGATATATATAGCAATCCACAAAAGTGTAAATAATTTATAATAGCAAATCTTGTCAGTAAACAGTAAAGCCTAGTTCTCAGATCGGCTAAGAGTTTCACTAGTCGAAAAATCTTATTCTTTGTAGTGTGCCCGAAGTTTCTAATGCATGTAGCATGGTCTTACTGTTAAGCAGCTGTGTTTATTGACAATCGGAAAAGAAGAAATCAACTGGAGCAATTTAAAAAAAAATAGTCTGCTGGTGCACAAAGAAATTAAAATAAAAATGAATGGAATATTCATCAAATGTTTTTATCTATGTAAATTAGTAGTTTAAAGCTTCCTTCTCGTCCCACGGATGCTTAGCCATCTTTCCCCCGCCACCGCAGTCCAGGAAGTGGGAGCCGGATTGGGAACGGGGTTGTTCCGCCTGATACTGCATGAAGTCGCCCAGCATCCTGGTAATGGCTGGTAATGGCGTCTCCAGCTGTCCTTAGCGGGCGACCTTATATCCTTTTCCCTATTGAAGCCGGCGTGTCCTCTATCTCCGCTTTAGCTGCCAAGAAGCTGGTTGAGGTGTAGTCCGGTGATTCTTCAATGAAGAGCTCGTCGGAGATTGAAAGAAATCGCACTCGGCATGTTCCTTCCCACTGGAATTCTCTAGTCGATCTCCTCCAACAGTTCAACTATTCTGCGGATTTTCCCTGTCGTGGCATGGCCTTCCGTCGGTGAAATCCCACAATAGGCAACAGCTTGGATTAGGCGTCCTTTTTCATCTGCACTGACCTCCCTTAGGCATTTTTGGGGTTTCCCTTTCTTTTTTAATTTTTCAATTCCACACCGCTTCTGCATAAACACCGCCAAAGATTAAATTTCTTATTCTTTGGACCGCGGCTAACGGCGTTCATCGAAATTCACTCGCGAAATCTGGTATTTTTTCGGGTATTTCCTTAGCTTATCTGAGGCTTCAGTAAAAACTCTTTTATGGCATACAGAGAGTTTGTATTTTCTATAAAAATTTAAGCAATGAAATAAATAAATAGTACATGCTTATCTCTATATCGAAATCTCGAAATGCTACTTAGAGGAAACATATTGATTAATGTTATTTTACTTATATGTATGCGGTAAACACCAAGTGAAATAACCTTTATTTTTATTATTTTAAAGACTGAATAAATGCAATGCAAATGCAATAAAGCAATGTACACTATAAGGCAATCATGTTATTTTAATTTATTTTGGTGAAAGTGTCACAAAAATCTCTTTTTGCGGAATTTGGGGAAAATGAATACAAATTTCCCCCGAATTTTGGACAGAGGACCTCCTCATAAAATACTTGCTTTTTTAATTACTGTTCAAAATACAGATACAAGCTTAAGCGTTTTGAAGCACTAAAATTTGAGCTTTGCGTACACTGTATTAACTTTATTTGCATTACCAAAAAATCGAAATTCATGGCTTTCAAACATATCTATCTGTATGTAGGTATAAATCTCAAAATTAAGTCTTTTAATTCGATTTCCAGTATATATTATTATTTGATTAGAATAGACCGTATAGCCGACACTAGGACGATCGTACCAACCAATAGTTTTATAGATGATCTTCGGCAGTCAGAATTTTTGCATTATCTTAAAATTACAAAATAAAACCTAAGTTCAAAAATCTCCTATAACCAATGCCGGTTAGCTAAGCTTTATGTAATGCAATATCAAAATTTCAACATTTCAACACACTTATGAATTACGAAATTAAAAAGTAAGAAAATTATAAAGACCTTCAATTCACAGGCTGACATAATTTTTTGTCATTCTGTAAAACGAAGGTCTTATATATTCTCTTACTTTTAAATAAAATTTTGCCCTTTTGAATTTGCTAAACTTTTCTACGGTTTGTAAAATAATTACTTAAAATAGCACATCTGCGATGTAATTGTAATTGAGTTATCTAAAATAATATTTAAATAAATTCACTATTATTATTTGCAGAGACATTTCACAATAAATGCTACTTTGATTGCCAGATATCTCCAAAATATAATACGCTGATATCTCAAGATCGTCCCCTTGAAACATTTTGTTCCATTTATTTTCAAATTTCGCTCTCCAAAATAAATTAAATTAAGTAAATTAACTTAAACATGGAAGAACGCTATATTCGAGGGCTTCGACTGTCAGGTACCCGTTACTTAGCTAAAGAGAGCAAAAGGGAGATGGAGATATACAAGCAGCAAAACGAGACAGTAAGCGCGACCAACCCGCTTTTCAATACATGGTTATTTAAGCGTTATGGGATTCTGTGGGCGTTAGAGTGGGCGTGGCAAACTTTTTTTTAGGTCAGTCGATAGGTATTGACGAGACAAATACACTTCAGTAAAAAAAACTAGCATAAAAACTGTATTTGTGGGCGTTAGAGTAGTCGTGGTTTGATTTTTGGAGTTTGTGGGCGTTAAAGTGGGATAGGCAATATTTTTTTTATAAAATACATTTAAAATACACACAAGCAGACGGAAATGGCTAGATCGACTCGGCTAGTGATGCTGATCAATAAAATATATGTATACTTTATGGGGTCGGATACGCTCCCTTCTACCTGTTACCTTTCCCCGAATACAATATACCCTTTTACTGTACGAGTAACGAGTATAAAAATTAAGCTACATTCAATCTTCAACTTATTTTTGAAAAATAGGGCATGTGATGAAATAAAAATTAGAGAATGGGTATAGACTTTGGTCGTTCACGGTATATCTATTATATTAAAAAGTTGTTTACACAATTCGTCACAGTCTTCAGTATTACTTACATACGTACGTATATTTTTATTCACAATAGCATATATCAGCGTTATATAACGCTAATGTCTAGTTTTCAGCTTACGTTTTCGGTTTTTGCGTTGCTATTTTATCGGGTAAATATTAACCTATCAATATCCAAATGGGTTATTTAAAAACACTACATAAGGATTTAAATAATTCATGTATAATCTAAGTGGACATGTAAAATATATTTGATTTTAAAAGATACAAACCCGTAAAGTTAATTAAAAAAAAACAATATCACAGCATAATAAGTACTTGTTAAATAGTACCTTAGTTAAATATGACATTTTTATACGGACGTAAGTGAAAGTATCTTACTAAACGCAAAAAAATATTTAGCAGTTGAACAAAAATATGTATACGAGATGTTTTTTATCCGAAAGTAATAAATAATAATAATAAAACAATTTTATTTTATTAATTGGAGTTTTCATTCGATCGATGATATTTCTATTATATATTTGTTTATTTATTGCACCTTTCAAAACAGTTTTTATTAATAGTTTATGCCTTGCTAATATTAGTTTTCAAATTGTAGATATACACAAAATCAAATTTAAATAAATTACAATAAAACTATTTTTCTATAAACATAAAAAGTGTTTAATTTAATTTAAATTCGCAATATGCACAAGATTGCAGAGTTTTAAAGATTTAGTAAGCTTATAGAGCAAAAAAGAATTTACATTAAATTTATAATGTATCTATTTATTTACATTAATATTAATAGTTTCTATCCTTAAATTCTATCTCGATGCGCATTTTTTGAATTACAACAACTATACGGCATATATTCTTCGTCTTCTCTTCATTATCTGGGCTGAACGAAATATTCAAATAAACAAAGACCTTTTTTTGTTCAGACTTACTAAGGTTATTGCAAGCACATTGAAACTGCACGAACTCACTTGTCTAGCTGCTGACGCAATTTTAGATTAAATGAAAGAATGTTAATGCAATAACTAATTTTTAACCTATTATTCGTAGAGTGAAAGTTGAGAACGTCGATATCTCGGAAACCAATACACAAGGTAATGGGAATAAACAAATTTAACGTTGAATTTTGAATTGGGAAGAAACGATTTTAATATGTTGTCACATATATTTTTTTCAACCAAAACCAGTTGTATTAATGTTCGTAAAAACTCCTATCGAATTTGGTTAAAAGATATTTTCTTGGCACGCCCGAATATGTTTTTATTGAAAATTACTAAGGGCTTATCGAAACATTTATTTCGTCTACGCGAAAATAACATAAAAAGACTAAATCCGTGAAATTTTATTCGGTCTCAAATCGAAAACAATATCACAGCATAATATGTACTTGTTTATTTAAAAAGGGATGTCGAAAATGTTACTTTACAATGAAAAAATTTTAACAGTGGAACATTAAATGTGGTTCTTTTATGAATGTTTTAAAACATAGTTGAATTGGAAATGCGATGTTTTGCTTTAATTTTTTAATAAGAATTATTGCCAATATAGTTAGGTGTTTATAATTATTAATATTTGCATGAACTAGAAATACGTTTTGTCAGCCCTAATCAATACATTTTAAGAAAAATATAATATATTTTATTGTTTATACTTATGCGCAAAACAGCTTCAAAACAAAGTGGTGAACCTGGTGTGTTGGGTTAACAACTGAAAAATATATTGCTATGGGGGAACCAGATTAAGGTCTGGCACTGTTTTGAATATCGTTTTGAAACTTTATTATTTAATAGTAAGTTGTGCAATATTTATGTGTGAATAAAATAAAGTATGCTTAAATTATCTCATTAAGTACAAACAAACGTTTCGGGATCGATCTTTCTTGTAAGTTACGTATATAGTTTAAGTAAACATTATCATATGTAGTATTTTGTAGTTTAAGAAAGTAACGCTTAAATAATTCTATTAGGCGGAGTCTTTGGTTATCTTATTGTATATATAAGATCTAAAAGTTCCTTAATTTAGAATCGGCAAAGCCGGAGATTGATAAATATTGCTGAGATGCGGCGGGACGCAAAATCTTATAAGATTTACATTTACATCAAGTCGCTGTATTCGGATCGTTGCGATTCTGATATCGGTAACGGTTGCTGTGTATCCTCTTGATCTTCTTTTAATCAAAAACCGCCGTACCCACTTATGTCGGACGGCTTTAGGTGATCAAATACGCTCAGATGATGTGAGGGATGACTATGGTGTGAATGATGATGAGTATGTGGATGAGTATAGCTTGGGTAATTTGCTTGTGGCGGTGTGTGACTATATGGGTGGTGTCCAAAAGGATAATTTGGACTCGGGACGTGTAAAGTTGCAGTGCTGGTTGGCCCAGTAGTCTGAATGGTACCGCCCAGGCTATAGTGGCTGTGTGTTGCTGCATATTCCCCTGTATTATGTTGTGGATGCGTTCCATATGCAGATGCACTGTACATTGAATTCACATTTACTGAAGGGATGTGGGCCATATGGTGCGCTTGGTCCACATACATTGGATGCGGATGTGAGTGAGGAGGTGGATGAGGATGGGAAAGGTGATGCGGACTGGGCTCCGAGTTATTAATATTCGCCCCTATAGCGCTACCCATCAAGTGAGGTGCATGATGAGGATAACCGGATGGACTATGAATAGGATAGTCGATGCTGTTGCCACAATTGTTGTTGTTACTATTGCTGCTTTCACTGTTGACTCGGGTTTCCCCACTGTTGCCATATAAAGCTTCGTTGTCAGTTCTTGCAGTCGAAGCGGAAGCAGCTAAACTGCTTACAGAAAAATTGTTGTTGCTGACGTTGCTATTCTCTCTTGATGGTCTACATGATTCCGCCTGTACCGGATTCTCTTGATTGCAACGTTTTGGTTGCTGGTGCTGTTGTTGTTGTTGTGGCTGTTGTTGTTGTTGTTGCTGCTGGTGCTGTTGTTGTGTTTGCTGTTGTTGCTGCTGTAGATGATGGTGCTGCTGCTGCTGTTGCTGTTGCTGTTGCTGGTGTTGCTGTTGCTGCTGTTGATGCAAGCCTAGAAGACGACTTTCAACAGCTGCCGCTGCTGCCGCTGCTGTCGCCGATGGTATATTGCTGCACTCGTGTTCCCTTATTGCTGGTATTTGATCAACCAGCGATTCGAGGCCACACAAGCTCTTGCGAGCAACGTCTGAGCCGATGTGTCCTGGCTGGGGAGTGTTCTGGTGGCTTTGATTTCCCAGCCTTGGACTAAGATTTTGGTGGTGAGCAGTAATTAACATGTAAGGATTCGAATTCTGTTCTTCGTAGCGCTGCCAGTTGTCCGACTGCTCCTGCTGAAAGTGTTGCATGGGGTGATGAAGGTGCTGATGTGTTAGTTTCTGCGCTGGCTGAAGATTTTGTTGGGTATGCGGCGAAACCCATTGCTGGTAGTGCTCGTGAGGATGAGCTATGTTTGCCTCGCCGTCACGTGCGGGACTGTCATATTGGTCCTTTTCCACTGTTTGCGATTGCTGTTGGCCCAACTCAACTGTTTTATTTGGCTCCCCTGTGCCCACTTGCGAGTCGGAGTGCTCGTCTGGTGGCTCGAAGTCGACAGCTGGACACATGTTTGGCGAACTTGGAGGAGGCGTCTCACCCAAGTGAGGTTGATCCCGCATATCTAGTCCAGCTTCCATATTTCCATGCTGATTTTGCTTCTGGGGAGACAGGTGCTCGTTCTGGGGGTCGATATTGGGCGACGTGCCCTGAGCGACGGGAGTCGCTTGCCCCACTGGTGGAGTTCCATGGCTGTGTACTTGATTGTAATTGCAATTGAGGGCGGGGGATGCCATCGGTGATGCCGATGCGTTGTACAAAAGGTGCGACGGTGGCGGCGTGTTGTACAAACTAGGCGGCATTTGATGACTGCTCTGCGGGGACGCTGCTATATGCTCCATTGAGAGTGGATGCATTGAGGTTACTGACAATCCGGCTGCCGTGTTTGGATTAGTGTTTCCGTGCTGAAGCTGTTTGACAGACAGAATATTGTCAATAGCGGGTTTTAGTTTTTTTGGCCTGCCCCTCTTCTTTTTTGGAGTTTCGATGCTGCCGCCGGCTGAGATAACCGAAAGGTTTAGTATATTGTTAAAATCGTGCTGAGGCATATGTGGTCCGCCAATGGCGATTTTGCCGCCCACAGAACGATCAATTATCTCTTGTCCCTTTATCTTTTTAGGTCGACCACGTTTTTTCTTCTCTAATGGTTGCTGCGGCAGGGATTGCTGCGGACCAAACACACCCAAGTAAGTGCTTTCATTAGGGGCGGTGTTGTGATTTGATACCGGTAGCATGGGTCTATCGTCTCCCGTAAAGGAAAATGTTCCACGATCCGTCGCATTATTGGAAGATGACACATTGGCAGTCATATGGGGCATCATTTTGTCATCTGCCTCCTCGGCGACATTACCACATTCCGCAGCGCCTGCGCTTGAACCACTACAGTTACCCACAAAAGCTAGACTCGCTTGAGGATCTCCAAGTGAAGTTTGATGAGTTTGCTTAATTTTACCGCTGGTTTCAACCTGTTGCTGCTCGCTACACTGTCGGATTCGCTGATCTGTAAACACGCATTCAGACTCATCGATGTGGGGTATCTGCCCGTTGAGAAAGTCCCGAAACTTCTTAAGAGCCGCATAAAAGGGAACTTTGTCGGCAGCGCGAGGCAACTGTGCGCATCGTGCTGATGATGATGGCATCACCCAAATGTACTAAAACATAAAAAAGTATATAGTTAATAGTGCTGTCAAAAACATACCATAACATTAAATTACTTCTAAACATAAATATTTATATTGAAATAACAAATGTTGTGTTCTGACTTTTGTCCCCAACGTCATTTAAAATTAGCTTGGCGAAAGGCCGAAAACTTTTGTAAGTCAACAGGAGCAGGAATAGAGGAGGAAGATTCTGAATCAACCATTGAGGGTAACATTTATATTTTAAAAGTTATTATAAACTAACAATAACAATAACCTCCTATATTGTTAAAATACACCAAAGGTATAATTTTAAAAAACTTTTTTTTCGAAAATTCCCAGCTATAAGATAAGTTGTCCGATCAGGCAGGTTCCGACTTATATACTACCAGCAAAAGATATAACAATTTTGGGAAAGTTTCAGCCCGATAGCTTTAAAACTGAGAGACTAGTTTGCGTAGAAACGGACGGACATGTCTAGTTCGACTCGTCTAATGATACTGATCAAGAATGTATATACTTTTTGGGGTCGGAAATGTCTCATTCACTGCGTTGCAAACTTCTGACTAAAATCATAATACCCTTGCAAGTCCTAAAAAGATTTAACATATTCCTTCGAAGGGCAAACTTATGGCAAATTACAAACTAATTTTGTTATTCTCAAATTAAAATTGCCTTTCTATCCATAAACAAATATAATTGTTTAAAGAAATAGTTTCACGACTTTCCCTCATAGCTTTCCGCTACATTACTATTATTAAAATGTATATAATTACACCAGTTTACAAAAAACAAGGAAGAACGCTATAGTCGAGTACATCGACCCGTTACTCAGCTAAAGGGACCAAAGGGAAATGGAGATATGCAAGCAGCAAAGCGAGATTAAAATGCGCCACCTACCGGCGGTAGACAGATTTAAGCGTTATGGGCGTTAGAGTGGGCGTGGCAATTTTTGGATCAATCGATAGGTATTGACGAGACCAATACATTTCAGTTTAAATTTTTTATCTAGCATGAAAATTGTGGGCATCACAGGTTTTCGTGGTTTGTGGGCGTTAAAGTAGGCGTGGCAAACTTTTTTTTGGGTCAATCGATAGGTATTGATGAGAACAATACATTTCAGTTAAAATTTTTATTCTAGCATAAAAACTGTAGGAGCCACAGTTTTGGGCGGTTTGTGGGCGTGGCACTCTGCTAAAACAAACTTGCGCTGCGTAAGAAGCTCAGGAATCTGCACGCCAAATCTCAATAGCCTAGCTCCCATAGTTTCCGAGATTTCAGCGTTCATCCGGACAGACAGACGGACATGGCTATATCGACTCGGCTGGTGATCCTGATCAAGAACATATATACTTTATGGGGTCGGAAACGCTTCCTTCTGCCTGTTACATACTTTCCGACGAATCTAGTATACCCTTTTACTCTACGAGTAACGGGTATAAAAATCGACGAAGTACGCCATGAAGGCGACCTTTGTTTTCCGGTAAGGTACTTCTCCCTGATTAAGAAAAGGGCACTTACATTTTTTTGTATGGTAGCAATTTTTTTCAAGTGTTGAAAACGTTTTTCAAGGACTTTGTTCAAAGACTTTTACTGGTAATAGAATGCCCTTTAACTTTCTAATACACAGCATTGCGTTCCATTCATTAGTTTGAAAGCTACACTTCGACAAAGTTGCAAAAGTTGCAAAAATGCAAAAACGCTGGCATAAATGGCTTCTTTAAAAATACACGCCTAAAAACCGAAATTAGTTTTATGTTCTTTTCTTGAAGGCTGAACTTTAGCGGAGAATATGAGCAATTGATCACGACAATCCGTTTCTTACAGATTTTTAAAAATATACACCCAAGTTCAGAATTCGGGAGCACCGGCCGTTTAACATTATTTTAAATTTTCAGTGTTGGGGATCGTAAGAAATTGGCGCAAGTAGTTATGCATAACGTCAGTTTCCTTGCTATTTACTTGCTAAAAAATATATAAAAATGATTTCCTCGTAACTGCAATCGCATACTTTTTAGCTTGCCCGGCGCTTATAGCAAGGAAACTCACCTTGTTCATAACTACTTGCACCAAATTCTTACGTTTTGTAGCCAATAACAGGTCAACAAAATCCGGACTAGTCCTATTTTTGTTGGAAAGATATTTCGGTTTGCAAGTCATTTTTTATTTTTTCCCAATAAAGAGAAAAATATATATTTTAACTGTAGCATCAGTGGTACCGCTTGAGTGGTCGCAGTCGTTTCTAGAGTGAAATATTTGAAAAGGTACACGCGGCCTCAAGATGTCAGTTCTGTCATATCCCATTTGAGAGCAAATAAGAAAAGAAAGAGCAAAAACAACACTTACTGTGTCAGTGCCATCGACGCGGTCAGGTTGCCGACCAAAGTGAAACTCCTTTTTTCCAGAAAACACCTCAAAAATAAGTTTGCCATTAAAAACGGCTACTTTTGGCCGGAACCTTTGAAGCTTTTCCAGCAAAATTCGGCTGCCCTCCTTTATTTCCTTTCTTGTAAGGTCAGCTGAACCTTTGGTGGCTCTCGCCACCATGTTTGTAAATCCGATTCCATGCTTTAGCAATTTGTGATCCTCATCGGCACTCATCTGCTCCTGAGTAAGTCCTGCCAAGTAAAGGCACTTCCAGAAGTGATTTCCTGGTCCTGCGTAGTGGTGACCTTTATATGCGGCGAACAATCCAGGATTTATTCCTACCTGTAAGGAGTTGGAATGGAAAATCAGTAATTAATAATGGCCTCTCCACATATTTTAGTTTTTTTTTTTATTGATAGGCCCGAAATTTACAACTCACTATAACAATATCAAGATTATCACACAGATGATCTGGAATTGTCCGTTTAATTACTTCTTCCTCTGACATTCCATTAAATCTGTCATGCTTTTTGCGTTCCTTGGGTTTCATGGCTTGTAGGTGATCAACACCACTATCTTCGCAAACTGAAGTGCCGCCAGACATTCTAAAAATAAAGCAAAAGTAATTTTACTTAACATGTAATGATTTTTTAAAAGATATGAGCACTGTGACCGGACATTTAGACTGGTTTGGTTTACTGAGCATTTGTCCTAAACTACTTACTCTTGTTGACTCGCTGGTGTTGAGATCTGCGTGATATCGGTACTGTCAGCGACCAGCTTTTTTTTGCGCCCCCTTTTTTTTGGCGTTGGCTTAGAATGCAAGCCGCATTGAGAGCTGTCAGTTTGTTCCAAGATACTTGTACTATGATGGGTGTGTTGGTATAATTCTCCGCTTAGGCACTCCTGATTGCCATTCGAAGCTGACACTGGCGCTGGACCCGAGGCGAAGCGAGTCGTTTCAGCAGTAACAGTCTCCATATGGCGATGGGCTGGAGAATGCATGCGCATCTCCTCACCCATGAAACTGTAGGGATTGACAACAGAGACATGGCTTGAGCATCGAGTATCTCCACTCAGCTCCAGATGTGTCTGGGAGGCAGAAACCTGTCCTTGAATACTGTTGGATGAGCATGCAGTGGGGTCAGAGTGAGCTTCACCGGTAAGTAAGTTTTTTGCCAAAACAAGCTCATCAGGCTTCTTCTGATTCTGCGGGATAAGCACGATGTTAGGATGTTGCATTTGATGCTGAGGGGTAACAGAGTGTGTGGAAGAGCTATGGGAATTCGGTGTTAAAACGTCGCCGGCGCTCGTCTCGTAACCGTCATCTTGATTCTCAGGTTTCGCGTTACTTGGGGAGAGCGTTCTGTAAAAACGAATATAAAATTAGTTACAATGGATTGATAATATATAGCAGTAACTCTTTTATTTTTGTATCCTTACAGAGGGCATTATAAATTCAGAAAGACATTTTCAACGCAGTGAAAAGAAACAAGAAAGGAAGTTAACTTGTATACCCTTGCAGTTATAATTATTAAATTTAAAAATACAAAAAATTATATTCCAAATAGTATAAGATAATATTTTAAAAAACACCGAAGCTATAATTTGTTTCATATTATTTTCCCACCAATTTTCCGACCGTTCCTATGGCAGCTATATTATATAGTCGTCCGATTTTGATAAAATTAAATTCGAAATCCATAACTAATTAAAAAATGTTATTTCCAAGCGCAGGAGGTTATATGTTAAAAAACACCGAAGCTGTGATTTGTTTATTAATATTTTCCAACCAATTTTCCGATCGTTCATATGGCAGCAGTATGATATAGTAGTCCGATTTTGTTAAAATTTATTCGAAGTTCAAAACTAATTATAAAATGTTATTTCCAAGCTTAGGAGGTTACATGTTAAAAAACACCAAAGATATAGTTTTTTAAATTTTTTTTTTCTGATTGTTCCTATGGGAGCTATAAGATATAGACTTATATACTACCTGCAAAAGATATAAGACTTTTGGGAAAGTTTCAGCCCGATAGCTTTAAAACCGAGAGACTAGTTTGTGTAGAAACGGACGGACAGACGGACATGGCTAGATCGACTCGTCTAGTCATGCTGATCAAGAATATATATACTTTATGGGGTCGGAAACGTCTCCTCCACTGCTTTGCAAACTTCTTATAAAAAGTGTGGAAAGACAACAGTTAAAGTACAATGTATAAATAATTATACCCGTTACTCGTAGAGTAAAAGGGTATACTAGATTCGTCGGAAATTTTTTAAAGTCGTTAAAATTTTATTTTTTATCAGAATGCATTAGGATAACATCATTATATAATGTTTCTAACAGAAAAGTTTAACAGTGCGCACCACTGTTAAGGTATCTGCTGTGAAAGCCTGTTTTTATCTCAACGAGGCGGCAGCGCTGGTAAATCTCCTTTTATTCCTAATAGTTTAAATTGTCAAAAAGTGTAAAGCTAAACAAAGCACTGCAGTTTTGGAAAAACCATTCAACCAGAGGGATTTGTAACTTGTGTTTGTGACCTTGATATTGTATTTATTGATTGTGGTGCCCGTGTATTCGTGTTCTAGTTCTAACCTCAAAAAAAAAACCAAATCTTCAAGTTAATTTGTATTTTTAAATGTTGCTACAAAGTGATTACAGCTGTTTCCACCTCTGAAACCTTGTATGTCTTGTAGAGTATTTAGTTCTTATTGAGATCAATTAGTATAAAAGTGCACTTTTGCGCACTTTCTCTAAAATTTAGCTTTAAAGACCTTTACCTAATACTGTATATTTCTCGCATTTTTGTCTGGTAAATGCCAGTTTCGATGTTATCTTAAAAAAAACAGTGTGCAATTATATTTCTTATTAAATAACGATTATTTTAAAATTATTTTACAACATCATTTCACTTACTTAACGTTGATATAAAGGATTTTAGTTTTTTTGTTAAGAATTATAGTGGTAACAATATAAAAAATTACAATTTCACTTCAAAATTAGAAAATCGAACGCCAATATTTTTTTTAAATTCAGTTCGGTTTTAAAAAAAAAAATTAGGAAAAAAATTTTTTTTTATTAACATGAAAAAAAAAATTAAAAAGGCGGAACTACGCCCATCTTTTATATTTTATTCCCTTTAAATTTGATATACCTAATTTAAAAAGAAAACATTTAAATGTTGCTTCGATTTTAAGTTCCCACAAAAAGTGGGAAAATTCCCCATAGTGGTATGTAAAGTATATATATTCTTGATCAGGATCACTAGCCGAGTCGATCTAGCCATGTTCGTCTGTCCGTATGATTGCTGAGATCTCGGAAACTATACAAGCTACAATACTGGGACTAGGCATGCAGATTCCTGAGATTCCTGCGCAGCGCAAGTTTGTTTCAGCAGAGTGCCACGCCCACTCTAACGCCCACAAACCGCCCAAAACTGTGGCTTCTACAGTTTTGATGCTAGAATAAAAATTTTAACTGAAATGTTTTGTTGTCGTCAATACCTATCGATTGACCCAATTGCCACGATTGCCACGCCCACTTTAACGCCCACAAACCACCCACAAACTTAAAAAAATCGTAAATATGAACGTGGATATCTCGGAAACTATCAAAGCTAGAGAATTGGGATCTCAGATTCTGATTCTGTAGCCTTGAACGCAGCGCAAATTTGTTACGCGAATATGCCACGCCCACTCTAACTCGCACAAACCGCCCAAGCCTGCGGCGCCCACAATTTTTATGCTAGATAAAAAAACCACCATTTCCCTTTGGTTCCTTTAGCTGAGTAACGGGTATCTGATAGTCGAGGTACTCGACAATAGAGTTCTTCCTTGTTTTTATATCGATATTCTGTCACAGCAGATTGTCTTTTATCGATCCTAATTGTCTTCGAGAGTGTCATCTTTATGAGCAAGTTCACGCTGAAACATATTTGTGACAAAATGCCAAAAGTTTTTAAGCAAAAATGTTGAGATGCTTGGCTTCAGCATCCTGATTTTAAGACATGGCTTCGCAAAGATGATACTGGTGCCACAGTCTTCTGCAGTTATTGCAAGTGCACACTAACTGCAAAGTTAAGTGATTTGCGCGCAGTTTTTTTTAATAATGAATAGAATCAATAGACCACGAAGCTGCGTTGAGCCTCTTTGTAGCACAAAGCTTTGAGCTATTGCACAAATCGACCACCTTAGCAGCTTGTGCACTAGTCAATTTGGAGATGGTGCAACTGCACTTCTACAATAATCTTCGCAGCGATATCGGCGATTCTAAGTTTAGTATGCTTTTGGATGAATCGAGAGATATAAGTGTTTCTTATTTCATGGTATCGCTATGTTTGTCCACATAAGTGTAAACTATTTCTCTAGTCCCCAGGGGGAGTTAGTAACTACACTGGTCGGCATAAGTATTTTGACAAAACAAAAGTTAAATATACTCATAATTTGAACTTACTTCTTGTACACTTTGGCATCAATTGAAAGGTAATTTCAATGCCGTTTGAATGATACAATACATTTCTTTACTCATTCAGTACTTATTGAAAAGCGAAGTAAACATTGTACAATCAAAACTGAAAAATCGAATGGACGTTACCACTCTTAACTCAATATTGCGCAAAACGTGAGCGCCAATTTGATATAAACTTAGTTATAAAATGCAAAAACTTATATAATTCGTCTGATTGCACTTATGGGTTGCGAACGCACAAAAAATGTTGCGTAGACTAAAATAACCCTTAGATTTTATGAAGCTTATAGGAACAATAGAGGCCTATGACACAGATACAAAGGATGATACGGTGTCGAGATTATATATTAAATATTACATTAAACTTTATTTTGTACACATTTTAATAGAAAGCTAAGGGAAAGAATTGGTGCATTTTTTCAAAAAATACATAGAGGGTATTCCCTAAACTGTTGAATTGCAGAATTGTTGAATTTCGGTCACCTGTTAATAAGCTGTTCCATACAAAGTCAACTTTCAGAAGTTTCAGCAATTCAATAGCATCAGGTCTGTTGAAAACTTTGTTGAATTGCTAAGAACTAGAGTTGTCGCTGTTGTCGACTAAAAGTAAGAGTTTAACTCTGGTCACTTGTAAATATGGAGGAAGAGGAAAATTGAATTTTAATAACTAATTTGATTTATTTTAAGGACATTTTTGATTTTTCGGTGAGGCGCAAACGGGAGTATGCCAGGTCGTTCAAGTGGACAACCGAAGCTTTGGCATTATTTGTGGAAATGGTTTAAGAAAGGGTAAAGGATTGACCAGAGAAGCTTGAAGTAAGTAAAAATCATAACTAATTGATATAAATTAATACATTTATATTCTCACAGAAACCGACTGCCAAGAAGTTCTACCAAAAGGTCATTGAAAAATATACACCGTTTCGTGATGCTGATGTGCAGTCATTAAAACTTTTAAACTATCCTGTTCGCGAAGTGATTCCTCTAAAAAAAAGACATTTAATGTAATAAAAGAACAAATAACCATCTTACAATCGTTGCAATCGTATAAAATATGCAAATAAAGGATATCTGGTAGGATGCTGTCTGTTAGCAGTTCTAATAGATTAGTTTTTTGGCTTATTTTTGGTATTTTCCTTAATTTTAAACATAATCTTTGCTAAACACAGCTTGGCAATTTGACAATCTGACAAACAGCTGATAGAACAGCTGACATCTTAAGATTGAAAATTGAACAGGGAACTTTTGGGGTCGTTACCTAAATTGCTTAAATTTTCTGTTGAATTATCACAAATCAGCAATTCAGCAGTTTAGGGAATACCCTGATATATTTTTCTTTTGTTAAATAGCAAAATATGTATGAAAAACTTTGCGCTTTTTTCAGCTTTTTTTTGCCAAAGAAAACAGCTTGTTTTCCACCCTTGTCCCGCCGAAAGCAGATTTTTTTTTCACAGAAATTTGGCAACACTGGTAGTATGTGAGGTACTACATATAAAAACACCACAAACACATCTTAAAACACCGTAAGCATACCCAGAAAGTTCTGATGTACAAATTATCAAAAATAGGTACGAGCTCCAAACCATAAAATGATATAAAAGGCTGTATTTTATTCACAAAGAAAGAAAAATGAAAGATTGCAAAATTTGACAAAACGGCAACGCCACAACGGGCTAAACAACACGGTCAACAGAAAGGCGGTAAAACGGCAGAACGGCAATACGGGCACTTTTAAAGAAGCATCTGGAGGGAAAAAGACGGACCACGAGGTTAACTAAAAATGTTAGTTAAATTAGGTCAACTAAATGTTCCCGATCTGAATATAATTCTACGCACGAACAATATTCCTGTCGTCGGAGACAAACAGGCTTCAATCGACAAACTCACACGGATCTTGGGATGTAATGAAATTGAACACGATGACTACGATTTCGATGCAAATACCGTACAATCTCAAATTGACGACTAGCTGAAGCAGTTGATGCTTAGCTTATCCCAAACGGTTCAGGCCTTAAGTGTTCAACAGAGAAATGCGACTTCAGGTCCACCGGCTGCTTTGAAGCAACAACGTCAGGCGAACACGTTATGCTTACCACTACCAGGCCAAGAACAACTGCATCTTAAGAACAGAGAAAGCCCCGAACGCACAGTTAATACCAACACCATTATCAGGGATGTGATTGGTGTGTTGGCCGAGTATGATCCTGTTAGGGACAACGTTACGTCACAAAAGCTTATAAGCAAAATCGAGCAGTTGCAAAGCGTTTATGAATGGAACGATGGGACAGTATTGATTGCTGTACAGCATAAAATGAGAGGTGTCGCCAAGGAATGGTTAGATAACCAGACTGTATTCAAAACTTGGGGATAGTTTAAGACTGCCCTTTTACAAGATTTTCCAAGCGTGGTAAACACAGCAAATTTTTTTCAAGGAATCGTTTACTGAATACTTCTACATCTTTCAATTCTAATATTATTAACGGATTGGACCAAAGTATATAAGTCGGAACCAGCCGGATCGGACAACTATATCTTATAGCTGCCATCGGAATAATCGGAAAAAATTTTTTTAAAAATTATATCTTTGGTGTTTTTTAACATATAACCTCCTACGCTTGGAAATAGCATATTTTAATTAGTTTTGAATTTCGACTTTAATTTTATCAAAATCGGACGACTATATCATATAGCTGCCATAGAATCGATCGAGAAATTGAAAATGAATATGAAACAAATTATAGCTTCAGTGTTTTTTGACATATTATCATTTTATGTATTTTTTGTAATAATTATAACTGCAAGGGTATAAAAACTTGCCGAAGTTAACTTCCTTTCTTGTTAATAATGAATACTTACAATTTGAACGCGGTGCTAGGCTCCTCATGGAAATCCTCCATAATAAGATCATGGTAGCTTTCGTGCAATTGCTGTTGTTGTTGTGTCGGTTGATGCTGGTGTTGATGAATTTGCTGCCGTTCATGTTGCAAATGATGTTGGTGTTGCTGTAAAATAGGTGCTGCTTGATGTAAATGCCCATGACATTCCATGGGATGTTGAAGAGGTTGCTGCTGTTGGTGCTGACGTTGGATATGATCATTTTGTTGAGTACCAAACATCGGAGAATTCTGATAGTGCGGTATATAGCTTGTATAACCTGTATGCTGCTGATGTCTGGGACTGTGTTCATGCATGCTTTGTTGATGCTGATTTGGATGTAGATGCTGCTGGTGCATCATTTGTGTATAAAAACTATGATGCATCTGGTTTTCCATAATAGAAGTCGCTTCTGCTTGGCCATATTGTTCTTGTGTTCCATTATTATGTTGATGCTGCAATGAAAGTGGAATCGCCTGGGAAAAAGCACCCGTTCCAGAGCTCTCCTTCTCAATTTGTAGCAAAAGTTCGGATTGACGATGCTGAAGTTGGTATGACAGTTCCGAGCTAACATTCACAGGCTCTTGCTTAGGCTCACTCGACTGCTGCTGCGTTTGCCCCGACTGGTCATGGTGAGGCGTCCATAAAGAAGTCCTTCGATCATCAATCAAAATATCACCCGTTGCTGTCGTTACTGCTAACTTAGTAGGAGTTCTTAAGTTCAAATTGGAAGAGTCATTTGCACAACCATCGATTTTATCGTTTGCTAATATACTTGTGGAACTACTAGAGGTGTAAAGACCACCCGTACTGTACTGCAGTTTGTTATCAATGGTCGATGACGAAGCTGCCGAGGATTCTCCAAGGGCGCTGTGCTTTGGGTCCTCGGAGCGCCTAACCGGTATGCTTGACGAAGAGTTCTGAGGGGCTGGAACTACCAATTCCACACTAGTAACCAGTGCCTGCTCCGGAGGCACATAGCAGTTGTTATCGAATTGGACCAATTTTTCTGGACTTTTCCTCTCCGAGCTGTCCACAGATAATGCCCCCTCAATGACGCTGTTGCAGTTGCTTGGCAGACGATTTTCCATATCAGCATAATCATCTGACTTACTGTCTGCAATTCTTGCATTTTGATCCAAATCGGGCTCGTCGATTGGACTGTCAACATCATTGCCCTGGCTGCTGTTTAGTTCAAGAGTGGACAGCTTCAAGCGTTTGCGATTATTCGGAAGGCCAGATATATATTTGTCTTGTTCATTGCTGCCACTTTCTGAACTACTTAAGTATGGGGTTGATGGCGTCAATGTCGGCACTGTCGCATCTGACTGCGCCAAGCTTACATCACCCTTTGATGCCATTACAGTGCTAACGGGTTTCTTTTCCCTCTGCACTATGGCTTGTTCAGTCAGTGCAGATATAAAAGTTTGCAAAACTTTTATGATATTTTCTGGGGCAGCAAAAGATCTTGCTGATTTTATTGGAGCTATTCCTAAGACTAATGAAGCTACTGTAGGCGCGTTAGTGAAGGAACTACTTATCAGTGGGATGATTTTTCTTTCCACTTGCATCTCCTATTTATTAAGTGTCCATTTAGGAGAAAAACTGTGGTCGCATTCGATCATTTCCAATAACATCCCATTAAAAATTATCTATATTATTTGGAATCCTTAGTCTCAGAAAAATTACTTTCGTGGACTGTGTTAAGTGCCAGATGCGCTATAGGCATGCCTGAAAATAAATAATAATGACAAGTTAGTTAAAAGGAAATGAGGTAAATGATGTAAAAAGACGTGAAGATCATATCTTTAACAGACAAAAGTGTTGATACTATATAAATTTCATTCGGCACGCTTTACTTTGTACGTTAAAGGTGCGATCGTTACAACATTTTATCACGGTTAGTGTTGTTTTTCCTTGCTATTGGAAGAACAAAAGTTTGACCTCTTTACATTTTTGCTGTTATGGGATTTCTACATATTTATGTTTATATTTATATATTTCGTATTTTTTCTAAAACTACCGAGTTTTTATTGGGGCCACAGAAATGGCCGAGCCCTGAATGAGCTTTTACTGTATTTTTGCTTTTCCAAGTAATATACTTTGTTAGTTATTAACTTCATTAAATAAATTTGGATAGGAAATATTTAAGTAATTAAATATTGATTTTAAATTTGTTAGCTATTTCATTACAAAGTTCCAATCCAAAATTGTAAAATCCCTTTTAAACTTTCACAAAACAATAAAGAATGTGATCGCCAGACAGATTTAGCGTTTTAGGCGTTGGAGTGGGCGTGCCAATCCGATGAATCAAACTTGCGCTGCGCAGGAAGCACAAGATTCGTCGCATACTTTGTGAAAAACCTATGTTCCTTTCAAAATAATTGTGACCCCTTGCTTGTGGCCGTGATCAATTTGATTTTGGACTACTTTGACCACTTTCTTATTAAAATTCACAACTCTAACGCCCACATACACCTACACTGTTAAAACCCGTCTTTCGCCCACATTTTGTAATATTTTGTACAAATGTACTTGAGATTTTGTTCTTATTATCAATACCCATCAACATGTCAAACATTATTCAAATAGGACCACTCATTATAAAGTTATAACCAAATAATAATCAACAATTAGCAAATTCAATCGAGATTGCACGACACATGCAGCAAATCGGCTGTTTGCGCTAACACGCCACCAAGCCTATAGCCTAGGGGGCGCAATAGGATAAGTGGCGCTAGGTGGCGGGTTAGTGAAAACAGTCGATTTGCTGTAAGCATATCCCTCTCGAACTCCCTTCGGCTAAGTAATGCGTATCTTAAACTCACATTGTCAATAAATAAAAGGTTTAAATAAAAAAATGTTTTGGTTTTTAAGTATACCGTTCCAGTTCAGTATGATTACCATCTCTGCCATCTTACCATGAGCAAAAAACTAAAACTAAAAATTAAATGTTTTATATATTTTTTAATAAAAGTAAAGCATATTATATATTGACTGGTTAAGAACCACTTATAAAATAAAACCCGACTTGAAAATTGGCGCGGCACATTCTAACGACTCGAGTGCTACTTATCCGATTTTGATTAGAAATAAATATATTTTATAAATATATATGTTTTAGCTTACAACTATAATGTCACCCTTTAATTTTATGTATAATAAATGGATAGGTTACATTGAGTGTATTGTAAACTACATATATAACTAACAATTTAGTGACTGTAAGGCGTATGTTAATATCGTTAAAAGTAAAAAAAAATAAGACAAAAATCAGAAAATAGTTTTATTTTAAAGTGGAGTGGAAATGAACGAAACAAGGTTAATTTATAAAATTAAAGGTTGTCATTATAATTGTTAACTAAACAAGGAAGAACGCTATAGTCGAGTAACTCGACTATCAGATACCCGTTACTCAGCTAATGGGACCAAAGGGATATGGAGATATGCAAGCAGCAAAGCGAGATTGAAATGCGCCACCTACCGGCGGTAGACAGATTTAAGCATTATGGGCGTTAGAGTGGGCGTGGCAAACTTTTTTTTGAATCAGTCGATAGGTATTGACGAGACCAATACATTTTAGCATATACATCTAGCATACAAATTGTGGGCGCCACAGGCTTGGGCGGTTTTTGCGCGTTAGAGTGGGCGTGGCATATTCGCGTAACAAATTTGCGCTGCGTTCAAGGCTACGGAATCTGAATCTGAGATCCCAATTCTCTAGCTTTGATAGTTTCCGAGATATCCACGTTCATATCTACGATTTTTTTAAGTTTGTGGGCGGTTTGTGGGCGTGGCAATCGTGGCAATTGGGTCAATCGATAGGTATTGACGAGAACAAAACATTTCAGTTAAAATTTTATTCTAGCATCAAAACTGTAGGAGCCACAGTTTTGGGCGGTTTGTGGGCACTAGAGTGAGCGTGGCACATTGCTGAAACAAACTTGCGCTGCGCAGGAATCTCAGGAATCTGCATGCCTAGTCTTAGTATTGTAGCTCCTATAGTTTCCGAGATCTCAGCGTTCATACGGACAGACGGATATATTCTTTGTATTAACATTTGTAAACTAAATATATCAATGGTTTTTTTTCGATTTTTTCGATACTCTGAAAAAATAAAACCGGTATTTGTAGATTTTCAGTAAACAAAACTGTAATAATATACTGTAATTATAAGTAAGACGTTGGTATTTTATACCCATATTTGTTAATTGAAGGTTCCGGTTACAAGTTTAAACCAAAAAATGAGGTTAAGTTTACTGTAACATTTACTGTGTATATGCTATGCCTATATTTCATGAAATCAATTCATGAAATGGGCAAATTCGTGTGTGCATAAACACCTTTTCATGAATTCGATAACACACGAAAGTTGACTATGAATTCAGCCCCAATTCACGAAATGTTGAGGCACAGCCTAGCTCTAATCAAATTCAAAAAAATTGACAGCTTTACTAATATCATTTCATAAATTTGTCTGTGTTGTATAAACAGGGGCTTTTATAATATATACTATGTTTATGCTAAGGGTTTCATGATTTCTTAAAAGCGAGAAATAAAATTTGTTCCTGTTTATGCGACACGGCCGAATTCATGCATTTTATCAATCTCAACTGACAGAGGTGCCGGACCGGTGGAAAAAGGTGTTAGCGATTATTAAACCGATATTTTTTTCAATTCGCATGAACTAATCTTGCTAGTATTATAGATAAAGTGTGTGCAAGCCAGTATAACATTTTTTCTACGGGGCGACAATTATTGATCGAACTCTTAGCCTACAGAATTGGTTGATTCTAACGACAAATTTGTTTTTGGGTGCGTTACAAATCCCTGGATAAATTAAAAACAATTTGTGCAAGGGTATAAACGAAACGAAATGAAAAGATCGGGTCAGCGTACAAGCTATTGACACACAACTTTGCAAGGAGTATTTTTGTATGTCGGTTCTGATTGGGTTACAAACGGTGGTCGATCGGGTAACTCTACGCGTATATACTATAGCTAAGAGAGGACAGAACAATTCTGTTCCATTATGTCAAATTTAAAGAAATTTGGGATGTTAGTTATTACCATAAAGCTTGGGAGATCGAATTTGTATGAATACAACAAGTCTTAAGTCGAAAACTATTTTTAAAATTAGATATTTTACTGAATTGTTTATCTGAATTACTAAAAGCCGAAGAATGTATTATTCATTTGGTGTCTTAACACTCCAATCTTATTGGAGAAGGCAATGCTGTTTTCTAACACCACTTTATACATAGCAGTGAAGGACTGATCCCTTTGGGACTTGTAAAAACCTATGATAGAAATATGCATACACATAATATTAAGCAAAACCCCAAAATGCATCGAAGCGAAAAATGGCAGTGGCAAGCTCTGAATGTGTGCTCGCTCCTGCATCTGTATAGACGTACATATGTATACTAACCTTATGTATGTGTTCAAACTACTGTACCAGAAAGTTTAGCAAAATCAAAAACAACAGCCAAATGAGAACGCACTCTCGAAAAAGCTCAAATTGTGAGTTTGTGTGAGAGTTTGGGAGATGGTTTGTGTGAGACGAAATACACAGTTATATTGCAGTATACATTGCATGCGTCTCAATATGTGTACAATATCTAACACACTTCAGCCCTCCAAAAATATTGTTCACTCATAAATTTTGAAATATTATAAAACATGCATGTCATAGGAATTGCCTTTAAAAATGCCGTTTTTTTAATCCACTCACTATCTATGATATTCCGAATTAGACGTGGTCCCATAAAGTCGTTTGTACGTGGTCATTTAATTTTTAAGCTTGATTTATATTTTTTAGTTTTTCCGATAAAATTGTTTCAAGATATTAAATCAAAACATTAATTTTCATTTACCATAAGTACAAATCTGTTGTTATTCAGGATCATGAACTGACCCGTTCTAGCTACTTAAGGCCAAATGTTGAATAATAAAATATAGGATAGGTGGCGCCAATATAATAGTAAATCGGTCCCCATCCATAGAGTTGCCAATTTTATCCAACAAATAGTTACTCTTACTTAATACGCAAGGGAAGGGGGGGAAACTATAAAAAATAGTTATGTAACTTAAAAATATGGTAGAATATCGATATTTTCTCTTAAAATGATATATTTCTATCGTGATATTGAGCTTGCGCAAATATAGCAATATCGATATTTTTTTGATATTTTTTGGTATTTTTACTTTGGTTACAGTTTTCCTCAAATCGTTGAAGTCATCACATTGAAAATAAAATTCCAACATATATCAGTATCATTACATAAGTATTATTATAATTTCTATTATATCTGGAATATATCAACTGTTATCTGTATTCTTATTAAGTTGAGAATATGAATGAACAATGAACAACTATCTGTATTATTATTATTGTATTAAGAACATAATGAAGTATTATTATTATTCATTTGAGAATATACATGAACTGCAAATTAAGAATTTAATGATGTATTATTACGTTGAGAATATATATAAAGTATTATTTGTTATAAAAACTTATTGTTTTTTTGATTTGGAAAAAAAATTTACTAAAAAAAATATCAAATATATCGATATTTTTTAGTGATATTTTAAATATTATTATAATTTTTTATAATAAAAAAAATATTATCGATACGATGTATTTTTAAATATCTGACAACCCTTGAATAGACCCAATCAATGGATGGTATTTGTATAGTTAACCAACCTATTAAAAATAGTAGCCGAACCTATTTTATGGTAAATACACACCTATAAAATTGATTAATTGCAAAATAAGTAAATTATTTTCCAAATTGTCCCTTTTAAAAGTGACACCCGTATACATAGGTTTTAAGTAAATACTTTACTAGGTGTTTGAGTCGCTAGACCCAGTTGGGAATTATAAAGTACACATTGCAGAAAATTTGTGAAGTTATTGTTGCACACTTTTGTGTGGCAAATACTTGATACTTATTCAACTATTTACTTAATGCATTAACAAAATACAGACATCACGTGAACGAAACTATGTTAATGGTGGCTTAACTGTTAAATAATAAGCAAAGCAAAAACAAATACTTATACAACCATTTTTAATAGTAAAGTACAATGTATTATTTTATTTAAACTGTCTGCGTGGTCAATTTTACCAACCAAAATTTTTTGTGCGAAAACAGCCCATTTGCTGAAAACACATCTCCATCCCTCTCACACTTTTTTTTCAATTATTCGTGAAAGAATTAGTTTAGTCGTTCCATTTTTAATTTTATTTAAAAAAAAGTATTTGTGGATAAGTGGATATCAAATGCCGGCAGCAAAAGAGGTTTAACATAAAAATCTGAAAACAAAAACTAAAACAGACCCACTAAAACACGAATTAATTATCCGGCAGCAAAAACGGTTTGAAATACAACTAAAAAAACAAAAATTCGGAAAAATCGAAGAATTGTGTGAATTTATAGAAAGCATTAATTTTTTGAATCACTTATAAAAGTCTGAAATCCAAATGAAATGTACCGTTTGGTTACTAACCAATTTAGCATGCTAACAAATGGTCCGGTTTATATTTTAATTTAATTTTATTCGTTTCCAAGTTTGATAATTTTTAATTGAATTTGTGTAAGAGTAAGAGAAGAGTGCGTTATTTTTTAATTTAATGTTATTCGTTTTCCAAGTTTTATAATTTTTATTGACTTTGCGTAAGAGATGAAAACGTAATTTTTATGTTCTTACAGGAAAACAAGAAAGAATGCAACAGACGAAACCCTCGTCTATCAGATACACGTTGCGCAGCTGAAGGTAGTGCGAGGGAGATGAAGATATGTATGCAGCAAATTGGCTGATTCCGAGATTACACATTTTATTTGCTTGTAACCTTTAATGAATGGTCCGATTTGAACAATATTTGGCATGTAGATGGGTAATGATAATCAAAACACTTTTACTATTAACTACACCTGTCTAGACAGGTTTCAGCGTTATGTTGGTTTGTGCCGGTTTGAGTGGGCGTGGCACCCTGCTGCAAGAACCCCAGGAACCTGCAGGCCCTGTCCCAGCCTTGCAGCTTGTTGGATAGTTTTTTAAAAATAAATACATAAATTCAATAAATTTTAAAATTCTTATACGCGGTCCATGGTTTTAATATCTTTAACCCTTTTTATGAATCCAAATACTATAGCGTTTTTAAATTAGTAACTCGAGCTTTAACAGAAGAATTCTATTATAGTTATACACCCGAGTCGGGAGTCTTCGGTCGAAATTCTAAAGGGATATCTGTGACACCCCCGACTATGAGCACTTGCCTATTCCTGAATAAAAGGGGACACAACCGTAAGGCAACAAAATGCCTTCATTAAAATGTTGCTAAACAATAACAAGGAAGAACGCTATGGTCGAGTGCCTCGACTATCAGATAAAGGAAGATGGAGATGTACAAGCAGCAAAGCTAGATTGTAATGCGCCACCTACCCGCGATATCAATATATGGTTATGTGGGCGGCAGACAGATCTCAGCGTTATGGTCGTTTTTGAGCGCTAGAGTGGGCGTGGCAAACTTTTTTTAGGTCAATTGATAGGTATTGGATAAAAAATGCACTTCAGTTAAAATTTTTTTTCTAGCCTGAAAATTACGGTCGCCACAGGATTGTGGGCGTTCGAGTGGGCGCGGTATGTTCGCGTAACAATCTTGCGCTGCGTACAAGGCTAAGGAATCTAAATGTGAAATCCCATAGTTTCCGAGATATCGGCGTTAGAGGGGACGTGGCAATATTTTTTTAGGTCGATCGATAGGTATTGACGAGAGCTATACATTTCATTTATTTTTATTTGCTTACGAAAATAAGGAATCTAAATCTGAAATCTCAACCCTCTGGCTCTTTAGTTTCCGAGATCAAAGCGTTGACACGGACAGAAGGACATGGCTAGATCGACTCGGCTTGTGATGTTTGTGCTTCCTTCTACCTGTTACATACATTTATCAGAAAACATTTATGTCCGTTGTGGGCATAAAAATTTCAAAAATACTCAATATATCAACTTTTTTTTTACTTTATTTTGATATATCATAGTTATATTTTTTAACATCAAATATCATCGATACATTATTAAACAAGAGAAAACGTCATAGTTGATGCTATCGACTATCAAATACCCGTTACTCAGCTAAGAGGGAAGCGATAGAGATAAGGATACGCAGCAAAGCGACTGTGCACAAGTGCACAACCCGCAACGGCGCCATCTAGCGTCGATTTCTTTATGTGCTTACAACTTTTTAATGGATGGTCCGATTTCGACATTTGACATGAAGATAGTTACGTACATTCAAGAAAATTGAATTTACATTTGTAAACAAAATATTTTAAATTGTGGGCGCTAGGCAGGTTTTAGCGTGGGCGTAAGGGCGTTAGAGTGGGCGTGGCACCCTGGAGAAATAAACTTGCGCTGCCCCAGAACATCAAGAATCTGCGCGCCAAATCCCAACTTTCTCGCTTTTATAGTTTCCGAGATCTCAGCTTTCATACGGACGGACAGGCAGACGGGCATGGCTAGATCAACTCGTCTAGTGATGCTGATCTAGAATATATGTACTTTATGGGGTCGGTGACGCTTTCGTCTACCTGTCACCTGTTTATAACAAAAAAATCGTAATTATATTCTTACAATTGGTTTATTAACTCTTTGATTATGCACAAACACACCTGATTGCTAATATGCATTTTCGGTAACTACCAATATTTCGGTACCACTACAAGGAATAACGCGTCTGGGCTGGTAGAGCAAAATAAAGGGTTGCTTTGATTGGACAAATCACCCCTTAATATGTCTTCTGATGTCAGCTGTCAGGTTCTATAATTATTAGCTGCCATTTGAGAGCCTGTCAAACATTTGTGGCGTATTCGGAAGCGATAGTTATGCTTTTTTCCAGACATATGCTAAACAATACAACTAATTGTTATATCTTATATCTATCTATTACATCTTAGGAACGATCGGCGATTTAGGATTTAAAAAGGTTTTGTGCAGCCACTTCAGTTTTGATCCGTTTGGGAAGGCATTTTTAAATTTTCGTATTACTCAAAAAATACATATATGTACATTTGTATAGGTTCATGTTCACATAAGTTGAATATATGCGTGTTTATGTACATGTCCACATATAAAGGTACATACATATGTATCAATTTATTTTTACGTATAATATTCTTCATACGCTGTGCGGTGCCCACCTATTCGGATTCAGATTCGGATTCACGGATACGAAATACAAGCGCACATTGCCGATACCAAAATAAAAGATAAAAGACTAGTCGCTACTCGACTCGTTTTTTGTTCACATGCATACATATACATAGGTACGGATGTATGCATATACACTTATATCTGCTTTACATATGTATTCCTGTGGTTTCGCTAGAGATGATGCTGTTTCTGTTTTCGCTTTCCACAGTGGATGTGGCAGATGGCAGAAAAAGAGGAGGTGGAGGAGGAGGAGGAGGAGGAGAAGAGAGCGACAAGCCGACCAACAAAAATAAGTTTGTTTGCATGTATTTATGTGGAGAATGTGCGAGTACATGGGCATGTACTCACGTTTCGCTTGACGGTTTGGGCACAGGATAAGTACAGTGGAATCCACACACACAGTACGTAACAGTTACATTTCCATCGATATCGCGTTTGAAGCACTGCTCCTTAACTGGGCTCCCCAGTATATTGCACATTTTGCATAATTTCAATTTCGTATGTACATGCAGACATATGTATGTGCACACATTGTCGTGTATGCATACATACACACGCACAGCAGAGTAGTTGAGGGGATTGGGAATTGGATTTGGATCGGGCACTCAACACAGCATCACACCGCTTCGATTCTCAGCTTGACTGGACTATATCGCACTGGACCGGATCATGGCGCAGGAATCAAAACAGAACTCTGGATGAGATTTATGACAATTTTCCACTTTCTGCTCAAGCTCGACCACGAAAACCAACCGACACGAGTAACTCTGAGATACAGATACTCTACGGGCTCTAACCGAACACCACCGTTAATTTTCGCCGAATGTCGTCTCGTCTCGTTCGTCGACACGTAAGTCGGCAAAACGTAAGTGTCAGCAAGGAAAAAAAGAAAAGCTCATTTGAGCTTTTCGAACAGCCGACGTAATGGACGCGGTGCACTACGTTGCTTCTTACGTACGTAATGTCGGGACAGAACGGGACTGTGAGAAACGCCCTAACGCGTTTATGTCGGTTGTGCACCTAAGTCAACTCTTCATTCCGCGAGTAGTTTACTAAACCAGAACAATATTATGGCTTAAATTAAATCTGCAGAAAAAGATCGCTTCCGCCAAGTGACCACGCTGTCGCTGTGATCGCACGCAAATTCGAACACGGACTTGCACCAGGCTCCCCGCAATGCGTTAAGGTATTTCAAATAACCTGTTCGTGGGAGAATCCCCCGTTCTCTTTTCTCGTCTCACGACTTTGTAGTATCCGACGGATAAATAAAATGAGCGAGTGTCGATGCCAGTCGTAAGGTGCAGTGTGTGTGTGTGTCGCAGTTGTACGTATTTTATTCTTATTTCCACTCAGAACTTAAAAAGTGAAAATAATCCGAAATGCAATAACGAGTCAGTTTACGGCAAAAAGGCTCCCCATTTGATGTCACGGAAACCTCTTTAAAAATATCATATTTTTCGGGCTGCACTGCGCTGTCCAATATGTACACATGGAAAGCTTTGTTCAATGAATGTTCCACTAATCGTTTTGACAGAGTATTTCCCTAATTAATTACATAAACTCTTTGCCTTCTGATATTGACCCCGGGTTCTGCCTTTAAGTTTAAGTAAAGTTTGCACACGAAGCACATAAATATGTATCCCAAATACACACCTTTCGTTGTTTCGAATGTTCATAAATACACCTCAACAAATGTAAATGTATGTGTGTGTAAAATAGCATTTACCCGTATTTATGCAAAAACCTTGAACCTTTTTTGCCTTGTTAGACGCAGCAGTTTAAAGAAAACGAGAGGTGAACAGCTGATACATTTCAAGCTCACGCACACAATGATAGCCAAAATTATTTATGTTCTTAAAAAATACTGAACTAAAATACTTTCAACTACTATTCTATTGTTTACTCTGGCAAAGAGTTCACTTTGTAGTCACATGTTCGAATGCACTGAAGGAAACGTCATTGTACGTATGTCTGCGCTCTGTAAAATGCTACATTTTCTCCAGCCGGAAATATATCTGAAGTCGTTGGGAAAATAGGAATCAAAGTTTCGGGTACAAAAAGTTGACTTGATCGTTTGTATTGCAGCTTTAAGGAACGTGTGGACGGGAATGGGCTGTATCGACGTTGTTGATCGATAGGAACGTCTTTATATTTTCTATGCTCAAAGCTGAACCAGATTGACTCAAGCAATGTACCCATAAGACTGGGACTAGCGTACTAATTTATAAGTATTCTTGTACTTGTCGCGTTAGGAAGAGTGAAAACCAAAATAAATAAATAAGACGACCACTACTATATAAATAAGTTTTGTGGTTTCTAGCAAGAGAGATCGCTGTAGTCGATGCCCTCGACTATCAGATACCCGTTACTCAGCTAAGTCTACTGGAAGCACTTAGAAAATGCGACTGAGATAGAGATATTCAAGTAGCGAAGCGTCTGCTCCCGAGATTGTACACTTTACTTAATTATATTTTTGGCATGTAGTTAAAAATTGATAATCAAAACAAAAACAAAATTTTTTAAAATTATACAATAAAGTATAACATAAATATATAATAAATAAAAAATACAACGCTGCCATAAAAAAGCAGTCTACAATGTAAGAAACATATCAATTTGGGATTAGGAAGACTATTGTTTGTTTCTTGGATTTTAGTAAATGGCTGCATCACTAATGGGCCAAAATGTAATCAGCCTTTTGGCTGAGATACTCACGCAAAGCTTTGTCTTGTGTCTAGATACTGCCGCCGTTTTATTTTTTGCCTTTGACGGAATGATAATTACCACATATAAACCATGTCCAATAATTATGGACAACTGCAGCGAGCTCTCTCTAACACTCTAACACTTTTTCGCAACTAGCAAAAAAGGCCTCTTTATATTTCTGCAAAATAGCCACTTCACTTTTTGAAGATACCCAAGCCACAGATTAAGATTCCTTGTATTTTTGTCAGCATCGGCAAATTATATTATCCTAAACGCAATGTAAGTATTTAATAAAAAAAGAAAAACAATGCGCCTCATTCCTTTGAACATGTTTTTTTGCCAGCTGCGCGTTTCTTTTTTTTTTTATTAAATACTTACATTTTACCGTCTTGCGTTTTAAGAATCCACCGATGCTGACAACTAAAAGGAATACGTCTAATCTCTAACTCTGAAATTGATTTGCAATATGGAGAAGGTATGTTTTTTTTAGAGCAAAAAAAAACAATACAGCCTTCTGTTCTCGATGTGATGATCTACCAAGAAATGAAGAAGTCAAAACATGCTAACATAATTTCTCCTCCTTCTTCCGCAATTTATTTAAATGTACATTGCAAAATTAAACGTACTACGCGAGTTCTTAAAAAATCACAATCCATTGAGGATATTTAATTCGCGGTTGTGGGGACTGGTTCGCTATAAAAACAGATACAGAGTTTTGTCGAATCTCTTAAACACACAACTCTTAGACACAACTTACTATTCTTCGGGCACAGGCCCCTGTTACCATAAGTTTTACCAACCGCCAACAGCCATAAGTTTCGCACACAAAGCATGGGCAAAGCATGAGAAAAATGTCATATTTTCCTAAACCTTCCGGTTTTGCAAAAACATATGACACAAGTAACATGAGTAAATGAGTTTAGAAGGCCTGCTCGGAGCAGGAAGAGGTCATACAGATTTTTCACATTTACTGCAAGGTGATTTTTCTCTTCCTTGCAGTAGCTGCTTTTCCACGTCCCACCACCAGCGCTTTTCTAGAAATTTTAATTTCTTTACACTTTTTCGTACATGCGTATTTATTTATAATATATAAGTCGAAGTAATAAAGTGAAATATTGTCAAATTTGTAGGAATTTCAAGGTCAAACATACATGAAAGTTTTGTATAAAATAAAGGAAAAAGTATAAACAATTAAATATACCGTCTATTGTGACCACACTCTTCGTATGAAGATTGAACGCACTTGTATCTAGACAACTAATCTAGTTTATATTATATATTAACCACAGGAGAATGTTGTTCGGCGGTTAAAATGAATGAATGGTATCATGTCTAACTAGAAGGTGACGGACTGAGTCTCAAGAGTAGAGGCGATCACATACAACGTGCTAAGAGGGAAAGGAGAGGTCCGTAACTATTTACCAAGCTACGAAGTTGTATATATAGGTCGTGATGTCCGATTTGGGGAGCGGAGATGAAGGCATCTCAGGATCAAGTAAGTGATATGTTTCCCAATGAACTTATAAAACGCTCTTTTTTTCAGAATATAATGTCACAAACATTGAGGGTTCCTCAAGTAGGAACGAGTTCGAATCCTCTGTAAAAGGTACAAAATCGAAAGATTTTAGTATCGAATTTTTAATAGTTATTTTTTCATCGTCGATTCAGGTGGAAGCGGCGTGGAGCAGGAATTGGCTACCAAAATGCTTCAAATACAATCTAAAAGATTTTATTTGGATGTTAAACAAAACCGGAGAGGTCGTTTTATAAAAGTGGCAGAGGTAAGTCATAACTCTAGGTAAGATTTTTATACCCGTTACTCGTAGAGTAAAAGGGTTTATTGTATTCGGAGAAAAGTATGAATCAGGTAGAAGAAAGCTTCTTCGACCTTTTTAATCTTGATGAGGATCACGAGCCTTCGATCTAGTCGATCTGGCCATGCCAGTCTGTCGTCTATAGCCTCTACTATTTCTGTTGTTTTTAAGATAAACTTAACACTCACTTCACTCAAAAAGCATTCAAAATAAAAATTCAGATGTTAAGTATTATAGACCAGACAAGCATTTAATAATTTGGCATGTAGATGGGCATTGTTAATAAATACAAACTCTCGTTAAATTTTTACAAAATATTAAAAATGCGGGCTCTTGGGGGGTTTTAGTGTTACAGTCGTTTGTGGGTGTGGTAGCCTGCTGAAACAAACTTGCGCTGCGCGGGAAGCCAAAGAATCTGTATGCCAAGTCCCAACATTCTAGCTCTTATAGTTTCCGAGATCTCAGCGTTCATACGGGCAGATGGACATAGCTAGATCGACTAGGCTAGTGATCCTGATCAAGAATTTATATACCTTATGGGGTCGGAAACGCTACCCTCTACCTGTTAAATACTTTCCGACGAATCTACTATACTCTTTACTGTACGAGTAACGGGTATAAAAAAATATGCTTGATTGATCCATTTGGGTCCTTAGCAATGTTGGCGAACGAAGTTCTGGTTTAAAATAACCAGCACAGATTAAGCACCCAACTCGACGCACCCTAATGTAAAACATCGATATATATCTTTCATGAATATATTCGGCACGAACTTATGCGCTAATCCGATACCTTATTGGAATGAAGAGTCAAGAAACTCTACGAATATAGTGCTATACTCGTAAACTTCACACTACCTTTTCTTTTGAAACTTTTTGCTTTTTATTTCGATTTTGAAGTTATTGTTTCGTAACCTTTTTTTATTGAGGTTTAAAATCGCCCAGAATTCTTTAAAATTCGAAGTGTCACTAAAACGTCGTTGTAAAGCTAGTCTACTTTTATACACAGATGCAGTAATAATAATTTAGGTTAAAAATTATCAATTTTGACAAATCTCTTTGAATAGAACTATTTTCTTGGAAGGTGCATTAAATTGTCGTTTGCTTCTGCAATACCAGCCCTAACAAACGAAAAAATTTGTTTTAAGACTTTATTTTAAATAAATATCAACATGAAAGATATAAAATCGGGTTTCAAAATATTATAATTTAAATGCACTTTAAGTATCAACATCCTATTTGAAAATGTTGACCCACATTATAAACTCTTACAAATTTAAGCAATTTGTATATAAGCATTTTTATAAATTTCAGATTGGCGCTGATGGCAGACGAAGCCAAATTTATTTGGCTCTTTCAACTGCAGCCGAGTTTCGTGATCATTTGTCGTCTTTTAGCGATTACTATGCTTCTCTAGGTATTTATAGTTTCAAAAAATAATCTTTTACCTTTTTAGAATGTATTTATGCTGGTCCTGAACTTCTCCACGATCTATATATTTAGACGGTTTACGTCCCAAAGTGCATCCTTTAACATAAACACTAAATACCATTAATTAATTCTCAGATTTAACAGAACTGAAAGCAAAACCCGAGAGAACGCCAGGAACGCCGAAGCGAAATTTTTCTAAGGGGGCAAATGACAATACTCCCCCTCTCGAAATTTTTACTTCTTCCTTAAAGAAATGTATTATTTTATTGGTACTCACTTTTTTTTTGGTATTTTACTTGGTCTTTTTTAGCGGGTTGAATAGTCTTTTAGGCTCTTTTTACACAACTATATTTTCGCTATCGGCTATAGCGTCCCTAGCGGCTTGGTGGTTCGCAATCTCGATTGAATCTGCAAAATATTGATTAATATAATAATATAAATATAGATAAAAATCTTATTTAAAATTTTACAAAATATTAAAAAAAATTTGGCGCTGTACGGTTTTTAGTGTTATGGTCGTTCGTGGGCGTTAGAGTGGGCGTGGAAATTATGAAAGCTTGAATTTTGGGACTTGGCATGTAGATCAATAATATCTACAATTTAAGTTCTCCTTGCTTGGAGTAAATGATGTAATTAATAATGAAAAGCTGTTCAAAATACAGGCCCCCCAAATACTGACAATTTACCAGAGGATGGTAAATTGAAATCCGAGATGATGATAAAAGATTATAGGAGATATTACTTGGACTTGAAGGAAAATGCGCGGGGACGATTTTTAAGGGTAACATATTTAACTTGAAAATATTTACATTACATAATGTTACATTACCGATAACCCATTATAGGTGTCACAAACCATTACAAGAGGTGGACCTAGATCTCAAATCGCTCTACCAGCTCAGGGCATGATCGAGTTTCGTGATGCCCTTACAGATTTGCTAGAAGAGTTTGGAGCTAACGATGGAGGGTAAAGTATAACAAAAATACCGATGTAGGAATCTTAGTAGGTTAGGCTCGGTGTAGCTTCCGAGCTTATTGCGTCTTTTTGGGTTATCTAAGCTATCCTCCTGCACTTCGTGGTTACAGCAGCGGCAGCAGTATGCGTGCAAGAATCCGTATGAGGCAGGAACTCGTGCGGACCCAAATTATGGTGCAAATATCATTTATATTTATTTGTAAAAGGGACTGGGATCTCTTGGGTGTGTACTTGGTCATGACAGCTTCGATAATGGCATGTACTGATAGAGTCCATCTGTTGTTTCAGAAGTGGCTTATACGTGCCCATGTGGCGTTCCTATCGTCTAATCCTCAAGAAGGATTTTGGGGTGTCGACTTCCTACTGGCCATCTTATCGGCTATGCCGTTTCCTTCAAGATTAAGGTGTCGAGTCCCCCAACGATGTTGATCCTGAGCTGTGAAGCTACTATTGGCTTCAGAGCCACTTAAATATTTTAGAATGTGAAAATATCTGTCTGATAGTGGGCGATTGGCACCTAGGGCTCCCTAGGGTTCCATCCTGTTGGAATTTCTCAGCCTTTTTGCGGTGCGCAGTTTTTTGAGAGTTATTGTGGCCATGCTGCATACAGCAGACCGATTTCCTTCTGATTCACTCAAAATATCTACCAGGTTACTACACTTATGCCCAAATCTCAGCGTTCATTTTCAAGTCTCGTACAGACAAAAAGCACGCATTGTCTCGGTCTGCTCTCTGACGTCTGTATTACTGCCCAGGTCGGAGACCTTATTTAAAAGGATTAGAAGCTCTCCCTAGCTCTCCCTAGCTAGCTGCGGGTTAGACTTTACCTTTCTGCGTAATGTCTGCGTAAGACCCTCCACTATCGACTGCTCCATTCCTCACCACCAACTAACTCCTGCCAGGCCGCCAAACCTGTTGCGGAAAAGTCCCAGACTGGGGTTCTTCCCGACTTCTAGGCCACCAGCTGATGTCCAGGAGTAATTGCGTCGCCTCCTGGTTCGTATGCTGAAAACTTAATGCAAATTTTGAGCGGTTTTACAGCGCAACAGAAAGTGGGGTCCTTTCTGCTTACAGAAAGCTCTTCAAAGTTGATCAGTTTTTGGCTTGAAAAACACACCATTTTTAGCTGATACAGCTATAGAGCTAGTATCGACTCGTCCTATCTTATCCATTCGTCCATTAGTGTAATTATAATCTAATAAATATTATAAGAACAAAAGCTGACTCTCTTCTTTCGGTTATAACTCCCTTACAAAAAATCGTAAAATTTTTATTGTTATGATAACAATAGCATTCCGTTGTGTTAACATTCGGCAAGCCGAAGTTTGTATACCCTTGGAGTTATAACTAGTAAATTTAATTCGAAATTCTGAAAAATACAAAAAATGATATTCCCAATAGTATAAGATAATATGTTAAAAAACACCGAAGCTATAATTTGTTTCACATTATATTTCTACCAATTTTCCGATCGTTTCTATGGCAGCTATATGATATAGTCGTCCGAATATGATAAAATTAAATTTGAAATTCAGAACTAATAAAAAAATGTTAATTCCAATCGTAGGAGGATATATGTTAAAAACACGGAAGCTATAATTTGTTTCATATTATTTTCCACCAATTTTCCGATCGTTCCTATGGCAGCTATATGATATAGTCGTCCGATTTTGATAAAAATAAATTCGATATTCAGAACTAATTAAAAACAAGGAAGAACGCTATAGTCGAGTACCTCGACTATCAGATACCCGTTACTCAGCTAAATAGAGATATGCAAGCAGCAAAGCGAGATTAAAATGCGCCACCTACCGGCGGTATACAGATTTAAGCGTTATGGCCGTTAGAGTGGGCGTGGCAAATTTTTGATCAATCGATAAGTATTGACGAGACCAATACATTTCAGTTAAAATTTTTTATCTAGCATGAAAATTATGGTCGTCACAGGTTTTCGCGGTTTGTGGGCGTTTAAGTGGGCAGGGCAAACTTTTTTTGGGTCAATCGATAGGTATTGACGGACAGACGGACATGGCTAGATCGACTCGGCTAGTGATCCTGATCAAGAATATTTATACTTTATGGGGTCGGAAACGCTTCCTTCTGCGTGTTACATACTTTCCGACGAATCTAGTATACCCTTTTACTCTACGAGTAACGGGTATAAATATTGTTTCCAAGCGTTAGAAAACACTAAAGAAATACTTTTTTTCCGATTATTCCTATGGGAGCTATAAGATATAGTTGTCCGATCCGGCTGGTTCCGACTTACATACTACCTACAAAAGAAATAAGACTTTTGGAAAAGTTTCAGCCCGATAGCTTTAAAACTTAGGGACTAGTTTGCGTAGAAACGGACGGACAGACGGACATGGCTAGATCGACTCGTCTAGTCATGCTGATCAAGAATATATATACTTTAAGGGGTCGGAAACGTCTCCTTCACTGCGTTGCAAACTTCTGACTGAAGTCATAATACCATCTGCAAGGGTATAAAAAAGAAGATATAATATTAGTGGCGGATCCAAAATTTTGTTGTGGGGCGGGGGGAATATTTGGAATAAAATACAAATAAGTGGGGGATCTAGTCCGCCGTGGATCCGCACATAGTGGTAATTATGTCATCAACCTTTCCCAGTTGTTACATAGAAGTCGGATATTACCGTCTTTTTCGAGTCTATACCCTTCTGGATCTTCTTAAGGACCTCTTTAAATCCGGCTCTCCCATTTAGGGATCTGAAGGCCTGACATACAAAGTTCCAGTACGCATTATTTTTCATTACCTCCTTTTATTTATATCCTTTCAAAGATATTTTAATTATAACTCGGTTTACAATCTTTCTTGAAACGGCTTCAAAAGGACCTCTATTGGATTTTTCCCAATAATATATCTGACGAAATCTATCAGATAAAAGAAATTAATTCTTAAATTTAAAATGTAGGGGAGATAGTAGTAAAAGAAAAAAAATTAAGTATACTCATCGAAATAAGCTCTTAAAAAGCCGGTTCAACTTTTTCCCTTACCACTTTGAAGCCAATTGTATCGTATAGTATGCATTATCAAATATTTTCTACAACTATCCTGGCCCCAGAGTCAATAATTGAAGATTTAGACAAATACCAAAAAGATTGAAGTGAAAAATAAATTGGTAAGAGGTACGCATTATAAAATATTTAGCTTAACAAAAATTGCAAGCGACCAAAATTTAATCGAACAGAATACAAATATTATATTAAATCTGACGTTGGTAAAACATCTCGTAACTTCTTCACGTGGTGGCTTCTAAGTCTCAAGTGTTGCCCCCTAAAGTTCAAAGGTACCTACATAAAAATAGCGCGCATCTTAAACAACCCGTTTAGGCGCAAGAACCGCAAACAACCGTTGCTCATTAACTATCCTTACTCCACTCACTCTGCCCTTAAGCTATTTATGTAACACTAACTATAATTATTTCAAATTGATAAATGCTAATTGTAACTAATATTTTAGCAGGTTTAAAGGAGATTTGCCTGAAGAGCGGCATATGAAGGTGGATAACAAAAACTTTTATTTTGATATCGGACAAAATAACCGTGGAGTCTACATGCGAATAAGCGAAGTATTAATGAACATATTTAATGTTTTGATATTCTATTTATATTTTTAAAATTTAAAGGTTAAAAATAACTTTCGAACTTCGATAACTATCCCGGAGAAATGTTGGATTCGTTTTCGAGATATTTTTAATGATTATTGCGAGAAAATGAAAAAATCGTCCGACTCAATTACTGCCGAAATTAATCTACCGACATCCTCAAATAGTCTTAAATAAAAAAACATCCCGTGATTTATGCAATCGTAAAAGAAGGCATCAAAAATACATAAATATATGTCGGTTGACCAACACAAAATGTATAGCTTGAAATGTCTGACATAACTAAGCTCAGAAATATGCGAATGATTAGGCTTGAATGACACACAAAAATATATTTATTTAGTAGCATTTAGAGAAATATGTGTTAGTATTATTTAATTTTTTATTATAAAATAATAAATTAGTTAGAGTTAAAGTAGAGAAAATTAAATCTTCAAATCACGCAGAGAGAATCCAATAATTTATTTGAGCTCTTCTAAAAATAGATCGTGCGTGCCATGTCTATATAATGCTATAACATGTACAGAAAAACAGTTTTCTGACCGGTTTCCCGATGACCTTTATACAATTATAGGAAATACCCATACCCAATTCGCAAATTCTAACGAGTTTTTTTATTCATCGATTTAACGGTTTTTGTTTAAGAGTGCAAATTGAAGACATATACTATACAGGCGTGATCCGGATTTCAGTTCACTTTAGTGTTAGTAAAACGTTCCTTTTTTGTTGCATAGTAGGCACGTAACTAGTGCTCTATTAACGCACATAAGTTGACCTTTTCAAACCAAACGGCAATTGCCGTTGCCCTAACCAATTAAACAGAAACCGCAGAAATCAACGTAAGTTTCTTATGTGCATCAATACAAATTTTACACGAATTAAATCAATTTTTCTCAGCTAAAATCAACTATAAATCAATGTTTCCCAACTAAAAACATTGATTTATACGAAATGTGTACAAAACGAATGAAAACAAGAAAGGAAGCTAACTTCGGCAATCCGAAGATTCTATACCCTTGCAGGTCGTTCCCATGAGAGCATTGTGTGTACAGAGCTTTCCGATTTTTATAAGACAAAACTAATTACAGATATTTTAAGATTGCTTTGTATTGTTTTGACAATAATTATCCGATCGATTCTATGACAGCTATATTATAAAGTCGTCAGATTTTTTAAAATTTTTTTCGAGGTTCTGAAATTTTTAAATAAATATATTCTCAAGAAGTAGTTAATATGTCAAAAAAAAACAAAGTTAAAATTTTTTACATTTTTTAATTTTTTAAAAAAATATATTTTTGATCATTCCTATGGGAGCTGTAGGATTTAGTTGTCTGTTCTGGCTCTTTCCGACTTAAAAACTACCTGCAATAGAAACAAGACTTTTGGGACGGTTTCATCCCGACAGCTTTAAAACTGAGAGACTAGTTTGCGTAGAAACGGACAGGCGGACATGGCTAGGTCGACTCGTCTAGTGAGAAGATCAAGATCAAGAATATTTATACTTTATGGGGTCGGGAACGTCTCCTTCACTGCAAGGGTATAAAAAAAACACTGTCCACTAAATAATTTTTTTTGGTGATGAGACTTTTACCAAAAGATCTAAAACAAAGGTTTAATCCACATTTTGTATTTATTAGTCGGTCTTAAGTTGTCATCATAGAAGTTCTATTTATTGAACATCAATACCACTATTACATTGAGTTAAAATTAGGATTACCGATCAAACAGCCTTTAAGTTTGGGTTGTTTTAAATTATGTTACTCTATAAAAACAGGAAAAAAGTTAATGACTAACTAAAACCAAAAATAAAAAGCTAGAGTGGGTGTTATTTGACATTAAAGTGTCCCACAGACCTTTTAATGAAAACCAAGTTTTGTCGCATTGTTTTTTCCAAAATGTCTAGTTTGTATACACTTTGGGGTACCTTTTACACAAAGAACCAACAAGGAAAAATCCGGAGATCGCCGATTATAGAGATAAATTATAATCAATGTTAAATTTACGTACGAGAAATGCAATCCTTGTCACGAAAAAATTATTTTAATTCCGATATATAAAAAAAAAGGTTACAAACCAAAAAATCATTCTACCTATAACGGTTTTATCAATATTCTCATGATAAATCTATCATTGCCATCAATCTTAAATTCTCTATAGTCGGTCAAGACTTTTTAAGTTTGAAAATCCGTACCTCTGTTTATCTGTCGATCATTTTCATGAAGACATTTGGGTTTTGTGTCTTTTTCATTTGTATAGCCCTTAGCTCAAACATGTATACCCGTTACTCATAAAAAGAAGGACGTTTCCGACCCTAAAAAGTGTACATATTCCTGATCAGGATCACTAGCCAAGTTGATCCAGCAATATCCGTCTGTCCGTTGAACACTGTGATCTCGGGCATAAAAGGAGCTAGAGAGTTGGGATAAAGCATACAGATTGCTCTTGCGCAGTGTACTTTGGATGCGTTTCTGTCTGTCTATATAAATACTTGTTCTTCGCTGACTATAAGGCGCAGATCGCAATAGTTTTGAAATTCAGTCACCGCCAAATTGATTCAAGGCTTATGTAAAGAAAAGTTACTGCCTGCAAAATATTGTGGACATAATTAGATCCTAAATTCTGAACATTGTAGAGATTGGTGGTGTATTTGATGGTGATGAAGTATATATAATAAATTTGAAACCTTACATTAAAGAGGATATTGAGTTCCGGGTACATCATAGTCCCTCGGCCCTTCGTTATTGCGTCGTTTGTTTTCCTATTAATTAGTATTAAATCTGTTGAGTGCCACTTAGAGTAATACTTCTAATGTATTGTACAACTGTATGGATTCTGCTAAATATTAAATCAAGTTTATTGTAATTTGGGAACGTTCTAGGCAAGTTTTCGAAATTGTTAAAGCTTCTAGTAATAATATGTTAAATATTATAATACAAGTTAAAATAACTCCTAAACGCGTTTTTAAAACAAAAATTTCAATGTGATCACGTAGAATATAAAACTTACTAAGTACGATGAACATGCATAGCAAAATTAAAACATAAATCGAAGCGAAGGTTAAATTTCCCAAAGGAATATCGTGTACAGATTGTGTGTGCTAAGTAAAAAATTAGTGCTATTAATTATTTAGTATTTAAAGTTGTCAGATTTCGATTTCAATGAAAATTCATTGGATTGTTATGAAAAATTTTTAAGTTTGCTTTTGTTATAATATTCACATTTATAAAAACGAGAGCCAGTTTACTAGATGAATTAAAAACCATAAATAATTAAAATTAATTTACTTTATTGTAATACTATTGATACTAAAGAAGCCGACAAAGTCCTATAAATTCCCCTAGTAGAGTCGATGTTAATCTGACTATAAACAAAAAATCTTTATGAATATCGGGCAATTGTAAGCGGCAATATGTTACAGAGGACCCAACCAATTAGTAAAATATAAAAATTGGGTTTGTCTTAAATGTTGTTGGGCAAGAAAGCATACTGTGTATTTTAAGAGTTTTGTGAATATAATATGGAAATAAAGTTGAATTAAAAGAAACTTTCTTTTCTTCATTTTTTTCTTATACGTAAAGTGTTTGTTGTACAATATAATTATACTCTAACAAACAAAGAGGTAATTATGTTGAGCACTGCGACACTGCCCCTTTGGGCACTTAAACCTAGTATTTAAGCAGTACTTAAGTATTAAGTTTTTAAGCATATTATTGAATTATAAAAGGGAACGGACCAGACTAACGCTGGAATACGCCAAATTAGTCCTTCTGTTAAAGCAACTGGTTTAAGACGATGGTCTTCGATGGAATCTTCTTTATGACCTAGCCGCGTACTGGTTTCAGAACCTCAATAGAACTCCCGACCGATTGGTAGATCTGCAAGACCCGCTTCAATTAGACATCTCACACACACAATTGCACAATTACACCAAACATGTAATGAGAGTAAAAGTCGCGCACCCGATGTTCGAAAACATACTTTTTCAAATTGGTCAACCGCTTATGAGCAATTTGGGTACAGCATTTCCGCCCTTCTGCGGAACTCAAGTAACGCTCTAAGGAATTATTCATTTAACGAGATAAAGGAATTAAAACACATACAGTATTACAATAAATAACTTTATAATGTATTCAAATGTGTTGCACACATGTGTAAAAGTGCAATCAGCACAACAAAAATCTCATATAAAATAGTTTGCAAGTACAACAACACAGCATATGAATATGAATACTTGTGTAGAAATAACTGTGTAAAATAATGGTTTTAAATGTCAAATAATACTAAAAGTCGGGTTTAGGTAAAGGAAAAAGACCTGTAGAATCCAGACTCCCCAGCCAAGTCCAGAGTACTGTACCATCATCTTCTACCGTAGCACCTTCTTTAAAAAACGAAAAACTAGCTTAACTCTTTCTTATCAGAATACCAGAGGCTTGCATAGCAAGCGAACTAAATTGTATTCGGGCCGTTTATCTTTTGCATCTCATATTATTGTTTTCACTGAGACCTGGTTAAAACCGGAGATCCTATACTCAGAAATTTTTCCTGGTAAGTACCCCATTACAAGTCGGAAGAGATACTTGCTAGGGAAGTCTATAATATTAAATTTATACGTGTAAGGCTATCGTTTCCTGGTATTCTTATATATATCACCTGCTAGTACATTCCGCCTGAATTCCCGGAGTATTTAAATCAACTTTTCGCTATACAGTCAGTCCCAAATAAGATGACCAACAGAGACCAACTTGTAGTTCTAAGGGATTTTAATATACCTGGAACTTCATGGTCCACAGATGAAAAAGCGAATGTCTTACTTTCATCAGCTCATCACGACATGTCTTTGTCTCAAGTTGACAGCATTAGGTACTCTTTAGGCCATTCTTTTGCACTGTGCTTTGTAACTAACCTGTCCAAAGTAGCATCTCTCACTCAACCCGAAGATCCAGATCATCCTGCTTTGGAGGTCTCAACCGACACTGGTGCTGTGTTAGTAGAAAAATCCGAGAAGTCGAATAAGCGATTACATTGTTTTCGCAAGGCTGACTTTTGAAGGATTAACTTTTTTATATCGGGCTTTGATTGGTCCGATCTCTACTCATCCCAAAATATGGATGATGCTACAAATATTTTCAATAGTACCGTAAATTCGTTTTTCAATTCTTATTATACTATCCATCCGTCAGACTCCAACACGGCACATTGGTTCAGCAAGGAGCTTACACACCTAAGAAATAAGGAGTCCAGACCTTACAGGAAATACAAAGATACCGGTTCTCAATCTATTTTTCTAGATACTTAAGTGCTCGGACTAGTTTTACCGTGCTAAACTATCTGTGATATAAAAACTATTTAAATCATTGTAATGTTCAGTTTTCTCAGAATCCGAAAAAGTTGTATAATTTTGTTATAACTAAATTCAACAATTATCCTATCCCGCTATCTTTTGAAGCCGATCTATTTGCCACGTTTTTTTAAACGACGTATTCTACTTTACCTCATTCTTACACAGTATCCAAGTCGAATTTGATACTCTGTTCAAACTTAAATGAAAACTCTCTGCTTGTTGAGCTTCATCGTGATAAACCGGTCTATTCGCCTGGGTCTGATTGTATTCCTAGGCGAACTAGTAAACGATCTTGGCGTACGTAGTAAACTTAAAAGGCCGCTGCTCCGATCAAGATTATGTTTTAATCAAGGCGATATCTATGACCAACATCTTACGTCCTTTTTTAATTTCTAGCAGTTTTAGTTCCAATTTTTAAAGATTTTTAATATCTATACCTTTTTACGATTCGTCACTCCGTGGACTGCCACTGTGATTTAACAAAAATTTTAAAGAGGTCCCCCAGTGTACTAAAAAAGTACAAACGAATTGCGTTTCGAACGTATCAATGATTTTAATATTTATTAGCATTTCTATTAGGGCACATCCTTAAGAAAAAAAATTATCGATCTATCTCCCCAAATACTACATCCAAAGTACCAATAATGGCAACGACGTCGGCAAGCATGTGCTGCTTTCCAATCTTCTCTAAAGCTGCCAAGTGGGCGAATCCCGGGGCTTTGATTTTACAGCGATATGGACGGCTCGATCCATCTGATATAAGGTAAACACCAAATTCGCCCTTTGGAGCTTCAATTGCTGTGTACGTTGCTCCGGGAGGAACTTGATAGCCTTGGGTAAATAACTTGAAGTGGTGGATAAGAGCCTCCATAGACGTCTTCATTTCGGATCGAGAGGGGGGTGCTACCTTAGCATCGTCCGTTTTGATTTCTCCAGCAGGCATTTGATTTAGGCACTGATCAATTATTCGCAGCGACTGGCGCATCTCCTCTACGCGGCAAAGATATCGGTCATAACAGTCGCCCTTGGTGCCGATGGGCACATCGAAGTCTACCAGATGGTACGCATCGTACGGCTGTTGTTTGCGGAGATCCCACTTTATACCGGAGCCCCGCAACATGACGCCGCTAAAACCGTAGTTCAGAGCTTCCTCTGCCGTTACAATACCAATGTCCTCGGTTCGCTGCACCCAGATTCGGTTCGTGGTCAATACATCCTCCACTTCGTCTAAACGCTCGGCAAACTTTGATGCAAACTCATAGATATCGTCCATTAGGCCAAGAGGCAGGTCCTGCAATAGAGCCTTAATTAATACATTTATTTCTAACATGTGTGCGAGGTGCATTACCAAAGACACGCCACCAGGACGGATGTAGGCAGCATGCATTCGGGCACCAGAAACTCGCTCATAGAATTCCATCATTTTCTCCCGCTCCTCGAACAACCAAAAAAAAGGCGTTAGAGCACCAACGTCCAAGGCGTGTGTTCCGACAGCCATTATATGGTTTAGAATTCGAGTGATCTCGGCAAACAGAGCTGGATCGAATACAACATACGAAAAGGAGTACTTTAGCTCATGATGCTTAAAAAATTTATAAATAATCATTTTTAGAAAAAATAATTACAATTCCATAGGCATTTACAGTACTTAAATAAAAGACAAGCGAGAATGCTATAGTCGAGTGTCTCGACCACCAGATACCGCTACTCCACTAGAGAGAGCGCAAGGGTGATGGAGATATGCAATCAGGAAAAAGAGATTGCCACACAACGCCACCTATCGTCGATTCCACTACTTGCTTATTCATTTTTATTGGATGGTGCGATTTGAATAGTGTTTGGCATGTAGATGGGTATTGATTATATTAACGTTCGATATTTATCGAAAAAAATCCAATTTACACTTTAACAAAATCTAAATTAATTCTAATAAGGCAGAATGATTTTAGCACACTTCCTGCAAAGTGTCAGTTCATTAAGGAGTTATGACCAAATAATATAATCGCCACTATGTGGCGCCCTGCAAACTCGGAAAAAGTCTCTTTGCTGCATTTATACCTTGTGATAGTCTATGAACTCGACTATAGCGTTATCTCTTATTATACCCGTTACTCTAGAGTAAAAGGGTATATTGCAGGGTTCGAAAATATAAATACGTAGCAGCAATATTAACTACAAAAATGTTTTACTACTGCTACGAGGGTAATTTCATTGAAGCCTAGAGCAGATCAGTTTTTAAATGCTACTAACAGAAAACTATATGGTATAGCATAGCCTTTTATGTAGTAAATATTACTTCATATTGATTACGGCAACAGCTCTCAGCAGAACTATAGTAAATATATTTGTATACATATATACGCCATAGTCGATGGCTTCGACTATAGATACCCGCTACTCGGCATAAGATGGTGGGAGAGGGATGGAGATGTGCTTAAAGGAACCCTCCTTTTTACTAGCACACCTAGCCTATATCCACCTAGCCCCACCTATCTTCTTCTTTTATTGCGCCACCTAGCCTACAGCGCCAACTAGCTGAATTGCTGCATGTTGTGTGTAATCTTGATTAAATCTGCAAAATATTGATTATTATTCGGTTATAACTTGTTAATGACTAGTCAGATTTATAAAATTTTTTGGATGTAGATGAGTATTGATAGCCCCAGTTTACAAAAAAAATCGACGAAATACGCCATGAAGGCGACCTTGGTTTTCCGGTATGGTACCAATTGTTTTTAAAGTGTAAAAAACGTTTTTGGCATTTTTTTATTTTCTAACTCGAGTTCTGATAAACCGAATTTGGTCATCAAAGACTCCCACCAATTTTCCGATCGTTCCTATGGCAGCTATATGCTATAGTCGTCCGATTTTGTTTAAATTTAATGCGAAATTCAAAACTAATTAAAAAATGTTATTTCCAAGCTTAGGAGGTTATATGTTTAACTAGGAAGAACGCTATAGTCGAGTACCTCGACTATCAGATACCCGTTACTCAGCTAAAGGGAGCAAAAGGAAATGGAGATTTGCAAGCAGCAAAGCTATATTAAAATGCGCCACCTACCGGCGGCAGACATATTTTAGCGTTATGGGCGTTAGAGTGGGTGTGGCACTCTGCTGAAACAAACTTGCGCTGCGTAAGAAGCTCAGCAATCGGCACGCCAAATCTCAATAGCCCAGCTCTCATAGTTTCCGAGGTCTCAGCGTTCATCCGGACCGACAGACTCACAGACGGACATGGCTAGATAGACTCGGCTAGTGATCCTGATCAAGAACATATGTATATACTTTATGGTGTCGGAAAAGCTTCCTTTTGCCTGTTACATACTTTCCGACGAAACTAGTATACCCTTTTACTCTACGAGTAACGGGTATAAAAACACCAAAGATATAATTTATTAAAATTTTTTTTTTCGATTATTCCTATGGGAATAAGGTATAGTTGTCCGATCCGGCTAGTTTAGACTTAGATATAAGACTTTTGGAAAAGTTTCAGCCCGATAGCTTTAAAAAAGCTTTATTTACGAAAAATTCAAAGGAGATTTTTTTCTAACTGACAAAAATTATTTAAATCGGAGCCTCCCAACGGTTTGGAACCCAGCAATCGATCTCACCTTGAAAAGAAATATTGCTATGCATTTTTAAAGGAATAATATAAAAATATATTCCTAAGCAACAAGTTTTGTTTTCTCAAATGCCGATAACTTTATCGTTACATACACTAACAGCTGTCGAAGTAGGAAGAAACGGTGAGAAAATAAAACATTCCGATGACGAAACGATAATAAAACTCTCCGAAAACCAAAGCACTTAAAAACGAAAACATAGTTTTTCTTATAACGCAAAACGTAAAATGATGTCAAAACTGGAGCACGTCGGAGCAGCAAAAATATGTAAGATGAATCCAATTATATAGGCCACATAATTTAAAATGTCGGCTAGCATCGGTTTTCTGTATTCCATACCGAGGAATCTGTAAGTGATTTCAGATTGGTAAGGATATTGGAGTGCAGATAGGTATTGATCAGTCAAATCTATTTTAATTTACTAACAAGGTATACGAAATCTTCAAAATTGTTGGGGCCACACAGAATTTAGCGTTACGGGCGTGCCACTCCGCTGAGACAAACATGCGCTGCTTAAGAATCCCCAGAATCTGTTCGCTTTATAGCTGTTTCTCTCATGTACTTTATTATTCGCCTTTGCAAACTTCCCTAGTGCGCTTACTTAATACTTGTACTTCCGTCCACAGTACATAAGTGATAAGTATCGTCTTTTACAAATCTGCGTTATATTCTTTAGTATTTGGATACAAATATTACGTCAAGGCTTACTGGCGAATATTGGAGTATAAAGAGACTACCTTAACCAGAAGAATCCACGGTCTTAATGAGAATAAATTGCATTATAGAATAATCAGCGGTGCCACATAAATCACTAAATCGCTAAGACGCCTAAAATCTATATTGATACACATAAGAAAAGTACGCCCAATGGGCGCTCTGTAGTTTCTGCGAGAAGCTTTAAATCCCACTACCTTACGAACTTGCGATTGCAATGATCCATTTATTTCGGCACTTGTTACTACTTACTTCGAATATACTTCGCTCGGAGGGGCACCTCGATGTTGAGAAGCTTTTCCACAGCCAGAGAATAGCACTGTTCGTTGCACATCATGGATACGTAATCTAGCCGGTCGAAATAGGGCAATGCTTGGGTGTACGTTTTGTACTCGATGAGCTTCTCAGTGCCGCGGTGCAGCAGTCCGATGTGCGGATCGGCACGCATCACAGTCTAAAAATAAGACGGTGGGATGTAGATCTAGCTAGTAGAGCTGCAATTACCAGCTCTAACCTCTCCATCCAGCTCCAGCACTAGACGCAAGACTCCATGGGCCGCGGGATGTTGGGGGCCGAAGTTTAGAGTTAAGTTACGCACAGACTTCTCGACAGGCGTCACCTTGCCTAGTAGAGAAGGGAATTCAAAGCGTTAGGCCACGGGTTAGCTTAATAGGTTAGCAACTAACTGTTCCATGGGGGCACTTTCCAGAGCGATGTCACCTCATCTGGATACATCACTGGGCCGCTAAACTGCTTCATGAACTCAGGGTCTGGATACCATTTTGCAGCTCCGCGGCGACTTTCATGCCCACTAAAAAAAAGAGTGTTTGGATAAGAACGGTTTAAAAAAAAGAGTAAGTCTCATATTTGCGTATTATGTAAGCAGGTACTCATTACCTTAGCGCTGTCGAGCCTGCTGGAACAAATTGAGTCCGCAGCCTCAAGTGGGACACCCCCGGAACAAGGAATCGCCTCGAAATATTGGCAAACGCCATGCTGACAGCCAAGTTTTTCTTTTAATGTTTTTAAATTAGCGTTTCAGTAGGCTAATACAACCAAAACGTTGGAAGCAACCGATATTTCCAAGAAGTATCGCAAGTCGATTTACACCGGCAAATCAGCTGCAGCTTATATAGTGTTCACAAAGAATACGTATTGCGGGTGTACTTAATACCCTCTTCACACAGAGAAGGCGACCTACTTCCTAAGAAATCCACGTGCCAAAAAGAGACGAAACGCACACGCAAATCGATTCAGTATTTCAGTTTAGGTGACTTCGGCTTGGGTTTTCGGGTCTTTTTTTCTCAGCTTCGGCGCGCTTTTTTGCTGCTGCGGCAGGGGCTCTCAGTGCAAAGCAGAGAAACGTCAGGCTTCATGGCGCTGTGCGCCAACAACAATGCAAGGCAACAATGCAACTTGTGCCGACCGCTGGTTTAGGACCAAGAAGCCTTCATCTTGTAAAAAATCATTGCTTTGCTTTTTTAAGGATATTACCTCCATCTTATGTTCTTCTTGAAAAGACTTGACACCTGTTGCACCAAAACATACATTATTTATGTAAAGAAAAAACAGCTTAAAAGCGCATCCATTTCTCAAAAATGTTGCTTAAAAAATGGATTTAGACCAGTGATCGGCACGAAATACAATGACATTTTGTCTTTAAGCCTAGTACTCACATCAACGAAAACCGCGAGTTAACCATAGGAGTGAGCGAGAGGCAAACAGGCTGCTAAAGCTTTTCGTCGGGTCTGTTTTTCAGCGCGGTACTCAGATGAGCTAAGAAAATACCGGTAAAATACCAAATTTCGCGAGAGACTTTTCGATGAACTCCGTTAGTTGCGCGCAAAGAATTAGAAATTTAATCTTTGGAGGTGTTCGTGACGAAGCGGTGGGGAATTAAAAAATTAAAAATGGAAGAAGAACACCAAAAACGGCTACAGGAGGTCAGTGCAGATGAAATAGGACGCCTAATCCAAGCTGTTGCCCATTATTGTGGTACTTGACCGACAGGAAGCAATACCACAACGGGGCAAACCCGCAGAATAGTTGAAGCGCTGGAGGAGTTGCACTAGAGAATCCCAGTGGAAGGAACATGGGACATCGCTCGATTTCCGCTCTCCATTGAGGACTCCACCTCCACCTCCACCAGCTACTTGACAGCTAAAGCGGAGATGGAGGACGCGCCGGCTTCTATAGGGAGGAGAAAATAAGGTCGCCCGCTAAAGGACAGCTGGAGGAGCCATCACCAGCCATTATTGGCCAGCCTATTGGGACCTGAAGCAGGACTACAGATGGCGCGGGAAAAATGGCGAAGCATCCGTGGGACGAGAAGGAAGCCTATAACTTCTAATTTACATAAATAAAAACATTCGTTGAACATTTTACTTATTTTTCTTTTAATTTTTTTGTGCACCAGCAGACTCTTTTTTTGAAATTGCTCCAATTAATTTCTTTTCCGTTTGGCAACAAACCCAGCTGCTTAACAGTAAGACAATGCCACATGCATTACGGGTGAACTTTGAAAACTTCGGCCACACTACTTCGGGTTCACTACTAGTGAAACTCTTAGCCGATCTGGGTACTAGGCTTTAGTCAGAAACATTATTGCTAACCGGTTTGGTATTTGTCCAATTCATTGCTATTGAATATAAAATCGCTTCTTATTTTTTTTTGTATATAAATCGAAATAAATCGTATGCTTTAGATATACAAGTATAAATGTAATCATGTATAAAAAGTGATGTAGGCCCTACCAAGACTCTACTTTTGCCCACCTTTATTTGCCCAAGCAAAAACTATGCAAAAAAAATAGGGTTAAGTGTACCCTGGTGTAAATACTTTTTTACTTTAGAAGCTTCTCCTTACCTTCCTATCCCACTCCACTTTCTATCTAACATGATAGAATAAACTGCGACTCAATGTAACAAAAATCTGAAACCCCTTGAAAAAGTATAGTTTCTTGAAAATTAACTTAAGTTTTATTAAGGCTGTACATAATATAGGAATTCTTCTCCACCCCAATTTATGTTAAAAGAAAAAAAATGTTAAAAGATCGCCTATCTTATATTTAAACCCGCAACGCAAATTCCCCCTCCCTTTCATACCACAACATTCTTCACACTGACATGCAGTAACCATGCTATACTGCTGTGACCATGTCAGAGCGAGACAGACACATGGACAAAGCCGAATAGGAGAACTTTAGAGTGTTAGTAAAAGGGCCTAAGTTACACGAAAAAATGTAAACGTCGTTATGGTCGGGGATGCTTTAAGATCATGACTAAATTTATTACAGGGAATAAAAAAAGTAAAAATGAATAAAAAACAAATCGAATTTTTTGGGCACTTTGAGGCCGCCTATTGCACCAATTTATAAATAGTACGAGTCTTAGAACTATTTCCAAATTTCGTTTTTTTTAGAATTTAGTGATGTTTTTTGAGACTCTATTTTACAGTTTTAAAGATAAGGGACATTTGGTCATCTGGTTAATTTAGGCATCTTAAATGCACTTTCAATTTGCAGCCGCGTAAATGTGTTTGCAATTTAAAATTAAGTTACACTAATTAAAACATTTCTTTGTTGAAGGAAATACAAATTTAGAACTGGAATTAAAATTTTTTCCGCTTCTAAAAGAGCGTAAATACAAAAACGCATATAGAAATCGTCTTGATCGCAGCAGCAGTTTTAGTTTTTTATTACAAAATTTGTTTGTTAAAGGAAATAAAAATTTTAATTGCAATCAACATTTTTTTCGGCCTGTAAAAAATCCTTCATACATACACACATAACAAAATAGTTTTGATCTTAGCAGCATTTTCAGTTTTCCATGTATACTAAAAAATTAAGCCACTAACAACTGTGGCTCCTACAGTTTTAAATCTTGACTACAGCGTTCTTCCTTGTTTATCATTTGTATTTTAATCTTATTTGGGCAACTGGGGGACATTTTAATTTTTTTATCCAATGAAATGTTGAGTAACAAATTGGATAATCTAGCTCTTACAGTTTAATTAAACCCCAAGGTGATAAGAGATGTTTGAAAAGGGGTTAACGCAGGGACGGGGACGTTTTCAACCCTATAAAGTATACATATTCTTGATTAGCATCACTAGACTAGTCAAACTTGCCATGTCCGTCTGTCCGTTCACCTGTCCGATTCTACACAAACTAGTCTCTTAGTTTTTAAGCTATCGGATTAAAACCTTCCCAAAAGTCTTATGTCTGTTGCAGGTAGTATATAAATCGAGTCGGATCGGAAAACTTTATCCTATAGCTCTGGAATGATTAAAATCATTTATTTTATGTAAAAAAATTATTACTGTTGTGTTTCTTGACATATTATCTTTTACTCTTGGGAATATAATTTATTAAATATATCAAAATTTTGAATAAAACTAAAAAAGATCGAAAGACTTTATCATATAGTTGCGATAGGAACGATCGGGTAATTAATATCAAAAAATACCAGGACCGCTATACTTTGACTTCGGTAAACATATACGGTAGTAAACTGAAGTGGAACATTATATTAATGTTTCCGTAAATTTTTTTTTTGTTTTCCTTAAATCAGCTTGCCGAACAAAAACAAATAATTAGGAAAAGTTCAGAATAAATTAAGAATACTATGGAATAACAAATAAAAAGGAACCACCTTAAATTGTTCCTTTTAAAAATACTCGCCTTGATAATCAGTACTCTTTTGGATACTTACAAACCAATTGTCCTAGTGGTCATAACATTTCTTTTAAGACACATCCAAAACATGGGTTTTGAACGCTTGAACTGCTTATTTGGACTTCGTGAATCGTTGACCACGCAATTCACACCTAATATTTGGGAATAAAAATAAGTCATTGGGTACCAATAGGTGTACGGTGAATAAATCATCGATTATATGTCTGATTATTCAAAAATTCACTAGCTCGACAAAATGTGTGAGCGCTCGCAATGTCAAGTTGGAGAATGATTTATCTATAACAGTTCTTTATTCGAAGTTCTCCAATCACTTCTGGCAAGCAAATGGTCGTCTACCACTCAGGACTGACCGTCCAAGGATGCTCAGGAACAACTCTCATTGGATTTGAATTATCCTCAAATACACACATGGTGGATTGCTCTATGCTTTCGGCTGTCACATTTTAATATAAGTCTTTTGAAGCATAATGCAGCTGAAACCGTTAAAAATGAAGAATAACTATAGTGCAGTACAATAAAACAATCACTTAATTATTTAATTTATAATTTATTGTAAAAACGATGTTCATACCCAAATTAAAAAAAAAAAGATTTATATTGACGCACATAAGAAACTTACGCAGAATAGGGCCTGTGTGATTTCATTGGTACCATCCTATAGCTCGGATCAGAAATTTAAGAAATTCATTAACGTTTCAACCAAAGTTGTAACCTTATATTACTAAAAAGAAACGGTAGCTGCCGTTCACGACTCCTGTTATCGGATGCCAAATGTGCACCGTTTCAATTGTTTCACATGGTTGGTCTCTGTGCGAAGAGGCTATTAGCATTGAAAACCATGATAATAATCGATGGTTTCGTGAATATCGATAACACAAAATTGTTCCAAACATCGATAGCATCGAATAAACATCGATTTTTGTTCCAGCTCTAGACAAGTTTTTTTTATAAATAAAATAGCTCTAGAAATACATTATTTATACAAAATAATTGTATGTAATCCAATTATAAAAACTTGCCGTTAAAATGAGTTGTTTTCGAGTACCTTCCTTCAGACGCAAACCTGTTCGGGACCTAATTTAAACATCAAGTGAAAAATGTAATTGGTTAAAAAGTGTACCAAAACCGAAAAATTTATGTGACATAGTGTTACTTTTGGTTTATAATTTGTACGCCTGCCTTTGATCTTTTTACGAACAGCCTCAAAGTAATTTGATAAAAAGTGCAAATAAGAATGCTTGCTCAAAAGTCGAGATGTCTGTGTATACATACATTCTGAGTTGATTCCTTCTCCACTGGGGACTGTGTCGTCACTGTGTATGTATACAGAAATCGTCTCTTTTGCTGTATACATACATATGCATTCGTATATCTTTCCATTGTGATGT